ATTCGCCTAATAAGCCATTTTGTTCCAGAATATTAAAGATTTTGAAAATACGGCGTGGATCTTCGGGATGGATTTCCATCGGATTAGGCGTGGCGTGATAGGACATGGCAGTATCATAAACAAATCCTGTTTTTAAATGTCTGCGGGAGGTGAGTTCCTTGGTAAATTTGGATAAGACAACGGTAGCACGCATTGTTTTAGGTGGACTGGGTCTGGCTTTCTTTGACATTTTACCCGTTGTGTTATCGTCCGAATCAGATACCAAATGCGTCAGCTTTTCAGGATCAATCGAGTTGGCAATATCATTGTATGTGCTAATCACATTTCTACCTGCTCTCACTGGACGATCTTTAACAAATGCTGTTTGGTTTCCGTCCGAATCAATCTCTTTATCGTCTGTAGGTTGTGTTTCTACGTCGCTCATGGGTCGAGATTCTTCTACGACTGTCTCTGTGATATTTTCTAATGGCTGTAAAGGTGCAAATGTAGATGTAGATGTTGATGTAGATGTAGGCTTAGGAGTAGGTGTAGGAGTAGGTGTTGACATGGTGATTTCATCAGCGTCTGTATCGGATTGTAATTCATCTATTTCCGACATATCATCCACTGTATGCAACACTGGTTTAGACTGCTTTTCTTCTTCTTCTTCCGTCCCGGCTAGGTCGAGGCTTTCGTTATCTGACATGACAGGATCCGAATGAAGTTTAGACTCGATCTGGTCATTGTCTTCATAATCACCCTCGACATCGACATCATCTTCAGGCACAACAGCGTCAACTCCGGCCTCTTCTTCGTTTCCTTCCACATCGACTTCTTCGTCTTCTTCGTCTTCCGTGTCGTCGAGGTTGGAAATATCCATAGCGGAAGCGACATCGCCAGGCGAGAAAGGAGACTTTGAAGGCTTCTTTGTCATGGGGGTGGAGGAGGAAGGAAGTTTATCATTGAACTTGACGCGTTCCTGTTGTTGTTGCTGGTGGTGGTGGTGGTGGTGGTGGTGGTTGACAGGTTGAGTTGTGGAAAGTTTTGACTTGTTGGCTTCTAGAATATTGAGATATTTATCAGATAAAGGTACGTTTAAGCGTTGAGCGTGCAGTGCGTCTTGTAAGAGAAGGTCATCCTCATCGTCGGATGATAAAACAATGGGTTCGGTATCGACGACAGGTCTTGATAATGAAGTGATGACGGGGGTTATCTTCTCGTGGGAAGAACGAGCAGGTAAAAGTAAGGTAGTACCCATGTCCAGCCTTGTTTTTTTTGAATGCTCAGGCCCTTCTTTTTCACTCGTTCTCTTCATTTTTTTTATTGTATGTGTATCTCAAGAAAATAACACACGAAAAACACGGTTTTCCGATTTACAACAAAAAAGGCGGGACTTTTTTTTTTTTTTTTTGTTTGTTTAAAAAAAAAATCACTGTGACTGGTTTCATTAGTGTGAATATACATAAAAAAAAAAAAAAAACTACGCAGACCTTTCTTTTCCCCCTTGTTCACATCTATACTTTTTTTTTATATATATATAAAATGAGTACACCATTGACACCTGAAAAGCAGTCTTTTCCTCTACTTCCTAAGGATCGTAATTTTGAAGGAGGTGATTCACCTGCTTCCACCACCTCCACATACCCTGCTAAGCGTAGAAAGGTAGATCCTTCGGGAGAAGAAGACGACGACGACGCGTTGGCGTCTAGTGACGATGTTTGCATGACCGACGTACTTCCCATCACGCCTGAATTAAAGCCTTCCAAATGGCAAGGCACCATCAACAATGTTGTAAAAGCCATTGTTTCTATTCGTTTCAGTCAAGTCGCTGCCTTTGATACCGAAGGTGAATACTTGATGAAACAAAACCCCAATTCCATAATATACTAAAGAATTCATTGACAGGACCCGAAACTTCTGAAGCTTCTGGATTTATTGTGGACGCAAAGCAAGGCATTATTTTGACCAATCGACATGTTGCTTGTGCAGGTCCTTTTGTTGGTGAAGCCATTTGTCATGATCACGAGGAAGTGGATGTCTACCCAATTTACCGTGATCCTGTTCATGATTTTGGCTTTTTAAAGTATGTCAGCCCCCTTTTTCCTCTCCATATACTTTGTGTTAATCTAGTCTCTCTTTTTTTTTCTTTCTTGCAGATTCAACCCAGAAAAGATCAAATATATGCCCATGTCGCAAGTCGAGCTTCATCCTGAATTAGCCAAGGTCGGTCTCGACATTCGTGTTGTTGGGTAAATCGCAATTTTTTTTTTTGTATTTAAAAAAAAAAAAGAGAGTACTAAAAAAAAAAGATTTACAGTAATGATGCAGGTGAAAAGCTCAGTATTTTAGCAGGTTCAATTTCTCGTTTGGATCGCAACACACCCGAGTATGGCGATTTGACGTACAATGACTTCAACACCTTTTACTTGTAAATTTCATATATAACTATATTTATAATTTCTATCTACGCCCGGTGGATTTATGGGGACACTAATATTTTCCAAAAAATATATATAACTGTGTAGACAAGCAGCTTCAAGTACGAGTGGTGGAAGTTCCGGTTCACCAGTGATTGATATTGACGGTAACGCTGTTGCACTTCAAGCTGGTGGTCACACGAAAGCAGCCACTGATTTCTTCTTACCTTTGGATAGAATTAAGCGTGCTTTGGAATTCATTCAACGTGGTGAGATGGTACCACGTGGCGATGTCCAAGCTCAATTCACCTATCGTCCATTTGACGAAGCTCGTCGATTAGGCTTGAGACCCGAAACAGAAGATACTTTACGTAAATTGTTCCCCGATGAAATCGGTCTTTTGGTGGCAGAAACCGTTTTACCTGAGGGTCCTGCACACAAGAAGTTGGAGGAAGGTGATATTTTATTGACAATCAACGGTGAATACATTACCAAATTTGTACCCTTTGAACATATGTTGGACTCCAATGTCGGTAAGGGAATTACCGTGTGTGTCGAACGAGGTGGTAAACCCATCGAATTGAAAATTCAGGTTGGCGATCTTCATGCCATGTAAGTGTTACGCCTTGTGTTTGACAAAAAAAAATTGTAGAGCTAAGATTTCTTTTGTTATAGCACGCCAGATCGTTTTGTTGAAATTGGTGGCTCTAAATTAAACGAGGTCTCATATCAATTAGCTCGTGCTTATTGTGTGCCATGTAAGGGTGTTTATGTTGCTGAACCCTCAGGAAGTAAGTTTTGGAATATAAAGAGTGAGAAAATAGGATGTGCTGACAAAAGCAATGATAGTGTTCCGTTTGGATGGACCTGATAATGGATGGATTATTAAATCTGTGGATGATAAAGATACACCCAACCTAGACGCTTTTATCGAGGTGATGAAAACGATTCCTGACCGAGCTCGTGTGCCTGTGGTTTATTACTCTATTGCGGACACCCATACGATCTTGGTTGCTGTTGTGCAAGTGGAAAGACATTGGTCTGGATTCAGATTAGCTGTACGTAATGACGCTACGGGATTATGGGATTATACGGATTTGGGTGCACCTTTACCCCCAAAGCCTTTAAAGCCTTCCACCAAGCATTTCATCACCTTGGATGATAGTCTGGGACCTGCCAAGGATCTGATTCGTTGTTTAGTCAAGGTGAATTTTTATATGCCTTGTCGTTTAGATGGTTTCCCTCGCAGCCGTAAACAAGGCGCTGGCGTGATTGTGGATAAGGAAAGAGGTTTTGTCATTGTGAGTCGTAGTATTGTTCCTACCTCGATGGGAGATTTGACTTTAAACGTGGCTGATTCCCTTGTCATTCCCGCAAAGATTTTGGTAAGTTACCCTTTTTTTTTTACTAAGAAATAAGACGAGGATATTCAATTCATTTTTTTTTTTTTTTTTTTTTTTTACATATAGTTTTTACATCCTACGCATAATTTTGCTGTGGTTCAATACGATCCCAAGCTTTTAGGTGAGACGGATGTGTTGAGTGCGCCTTTCAGTGATAAAACATTATCACAAGGACATAAAGTGACACTGGTTGCTCATAACCATAACCAGCGTCCAGTTTGCTTAAATACGGTGGTCACGGATGTCACTTGTGTGACCATTCCGCATAATGGAGTAAAGTATATTTCTTGTGAAACAAGGATTACCAATTTAAAATGGATACCCGAAATGAAAAAAATGCTTAACATAAACCAATTTTTTTTTTTTTTTAGACTCCTCGTTTCCGTAGTATTAATATGGATGCGATTACGCTGGATACGCCCTTGGCACTTCAATGCAGTTCAGGACTTTTAGCGGATGCGGATGGACTTGTACAGGGACTCTGGATGAATTTCTTGGGAGAGCGTAATATGAATGGACATGATAATGAGTATCATTTGGGTATCCATATCTCTACCATCCGTTCTGTTTTGGAGCGTTTATATAAAGGGGAAGAGCATGTTGCACTTCGTAGCATCAATGCCGAGTTAATGCCGGTACAGATGGCACAAGCTGCGGCAATGGGATTGTCCGATGAATGGGTCAGTCGTGTAGAACAAGCCAACCCTTCCAAACATCAATTGTTCATGATTCGACGTACGGAAGCCGCCAGTGAAAGTTCCAAGGTGTTGAAAGAGTTAGATTTGATCTTATCGGTCAATGGAAAGGTCATCACGAGAATGTATGAGATGGATGTACAGTATGAAGAGGAGGAAATCGAGATGACGATTTTACGCGCTAAGAAGGAATTGACCGTCAAGGTGAAGACAAGTCCTGTTTCTGGTGATGGAACCAGCCGTGTTGTATTCTGGGCAGGAGCAGCATTACATGGTACGGCTTAAAAAAAAAATGTTTTTTATAGGATTATGTGAGAACTCAATTTATTATTCTATAGAACCCCATAAGGCTGTTCTTCAACAGAGTAAAACGCTCCCTTCTCAGATTTATATTTCTGCTCGATCCAAGGGGTCACCCGCTTATATGTACGGTCTCGTACCTACCATGTGGATTACGCATATTAATTCGAAGCAGGTAGTTACGTTGGATGATTTGGTTGCAGCTGTAAAGGATGCCGAAGACAACACATATGTCCGTGTGCGTTGTCTTAGTTTCGATAATGTGCCCATCATGCTTTCCGTCAAGATGGTCAATCATTATTTCCCTTTGGTTGATATGGTGAAAGATCCCAAGGCTGAGTGTGGATGGTCAAAAAGAGAGTAATAACACAAACTAGCATTTATAGAAAGAAATATATATAAAAAAAATTTACATATATTTTCCTCAACACACATATTTTTCTGTACCTTCTTTTTTCTACAATAATGACTTCGCCATCATTTTTAGAGTCACCTGTTTTTCCTTTTTCGAATTTTGTTGTAAAGCCAAAAGTTTCATAAAAGTGTGTGGTACAAAAAGAGTTTAAAAATAAGATTAAACATTTTTTTTTGTTTGAATTTTTCTTTTCTCTCTTCTCTCACTATTGTTCTATCAATTCACTACTTACATTATATGATTGGTGGAAAGTATCAAAAGCTAGATGCAGATGAGCATCGCAAGGGCCACAAAAGCAAATCGCTCAAGACATTGGCTATCTCTATCGGATTAGGTTTAGTGGTTGCCTATGCTGTCATTTCGGTCCTGATCATTGAAGTGAAAGGTCGTCAAGCACTCAAGACACCAGAAGAATGGAGGGAATTGATCAAGGAACACGGTTATGAACGTCAAGAAACGGATGCAAGATCTCCCTGTCCCATGTTAAATACGTTGGCGAATCACGGATTTATCGCGCGAAGCGGGCGTCACATTAAATCAGATGACCTGTTCAAGGCCATGATGTTGATGGGCGCTCCACCCACTGTCACGGCTGGTTTCTTGAAAAAAATCTATCGTGATTATCATGAAGCAGACCCTCAACGTTCCTTCTTTTCTCAGTTTAGCAGTATGGAGACGTTGGATTTGGATCGTTTGACGGTCGCAGGTTTGTTAGAACATGATGTTTCGCTGAGTCGCAATGATCTTCGACTACCGCCTTATAGTACGGTGGAGCCGATTCCTGATTACGTGCATCGTATGCATAAAATAGCTCAAGTGGCCAATAAAGGTACAGAATTCGAGGGTATCTTTACGCGTAAGAATGAAAATGATGCAAGACGTATCCGGTGGTTGGAATCCTATGGCCACAACAAGTATATTCATTTAAGTTTATTCCATCAGGTAAAAATTACAATTAAGATGTATTTTTTTTTTTGGGGGGGGGGACAACAGGATACTGACCACTTTTTTATTTTTATTACTTTAGTTCGCATCAAGCACGGAGTGTTCCTTATTGTTGGATATCATTGGACGTGATGGAGCAATTACTTTGCCTCATTTGACCTCGTTTCTGTTAAACCAAACATTTCCGGACGATTGGCATCCAAGAGAGACCTCTTATAGCTTCAAGGAATTGGCAACAAAGCCTTTACGCTGCTGGAAAGGACTTCGTGATAGTACCGCAACACTTGAATTATTGGACCAACTTGAGCATTAGCCCTTTTCTTTTTTCTCTAGATGTGTGTATGTGTGTGTGTGTATATATTCAATAAAATTTTATCATGAACGCTGTTCTGATCAAACAAATACAGCAGCGTCTATGTTTAAAAGATAACCACTCTAATTTAGCTGTATAAGGTTTCAGATTTGCCAATTTTCCCTGATGCGTTTACAAGGGATTAAAATCTAGTGATGCATTAGCCAAAAGTGTAACCGCATGGCTTCTTTTTTTTTTCGGCCCTTTGTACTTGATTACATGTTAAAAAATAACGCCGTCAGAGATACCAATTGGTATAATGATGTATGTGCTACAATGGATTTGTTCTTCGAAAGATTCCTAACGGCAAAGCCTACACATACGATTATTCACGTGGTTGTTCGTTCTACATTTGTATTCTATTTATAAAAACCGTGTCTAAATATCTGTACAAACTTTTTTTTTTGAAGCTACGTCAATTTTTAAAAAAAAAGTTACAGCCCAACTATTCTATGATTTCCCCCTTCCCTTTCTATCAACTCTTTATCATAAATATCGCTCTTATGTCCTTGATAAAACTGATATTTGGAAAATAGCAAACTTTTTTTTTTTTTTTTTGTATAGCCTGGTTGGGCGTCAACTTCATTCGACTTGTTTGTACTCATGAGAAAGATTTATATCCGTAAAAGTGTTAATCTCTGCGCATGCGGGCTCATAATAAAGTCGTAATATGAGTAAAAATAGACATCGGCTACCAGAAATTATCCCCCTTGTGGTGTTCGAAAGTATTGAAAAATCAAGAGAACTGAAATCCCCAGAATACGGTGTTGTTTCACTAGTCAGTGAATCAATGGGAATTCAGTAAAACACGCAATAAAATTCATTGAATTCAGTTCAATAGATTCGGTGCCATTTAGGTGTGTTATATCAGATTACGCATTATACATAGATGGTTCCAGGCAATAATAATACAAAAACAAAGGATAACTCTCGAGGGTGGGCAAGACCTTTAATCGAGGTAATCCCTTCATATTAAACTTGCACAGTGCTAGGAGTTGAGAGAAAATATTAAAAAATATCGGCAAAAAGGTCATTAGCTCACCTTTCTTATGTATGTTGGGATACAAAAGTCAAGAATTGTGTGGGGTTGAAAGACCCTAACGGTAGAATGGTAGTGACTAGCTATAAAACAAAGATTAGACACGCCACTTATGTTTGTGCCTTTCAAATTCTTTGTCATGTTCTAGAAAGAAAATTTATTGATGATTCTGACCTTTTCTTGGTATTTTTCATCAATGAGAAAAGTAGAAGTAAGCAAAATAAAAAGTGAGTGAGTGGATTTAAATAAGAAGAATGATAAACAAGGACTGGTAATTACATCAGGATGAACTAATTTACTATTGTAGTAACTTTTTGCAAAATATTCCCAATTGAAACAATAAATAGAGGGAGAGCTGTCCCTTTGTAGGGATGAAAAGAAAATCTAAAGTGTTTTATAGACTAACTTCTTAAAAAAGCACCATAAAATGGGATGTTAGATATTGTCTGACAGCAGATGAAGCGTTACATTTTGATACAAAAAAAAAACAGTCGTCTTAATTATGCACTGATCTTATCATTTAATTGAAATCGAGAATTGTAAAAGAATGCATGGTAGAGCTTATAAGTGTAGTCGCCACAGAAATAATTAATGCGGGGGGAGAGGGAAAAAGGGTAAATTACTACTGCGTAAATGGTTACTCTTCTTTGAATAGACGGCAACTGAATTTGACACGCACACAGTCAAATAAAATTTCCCGTGTGGATGACAACAAACAAGGGAAATTGATCAATTGATAATTTTTTTTTTTTTTTTTATTGGGAGTTGTTAGAAAAAAAAAGAATATGGGGGTAAAGAATATATAAATACATTATAAAAGAAGTGTCTAATGAGGTTTAAAGAGAAAAAGAGCTTTAGATTTTGAAGCCCAAGTTACGCATACAAGTAATATGAGCTTGGATAAGTTCTTGACAGTTTTCTTCTCCCTTTTGAAAGACACACTCGTCACGGACTTTCTTTGTTTCGGGACAAGCACAACATGGCTTGAGTGGCTTTCCATCTTTGCCAATGGGAAGAACACCGGATTGTGTAGAAGTGGTCTTTACAGGTTCGGCCATTAAGAATAATAATAATAAGATAAAAAAAAAAACGTAAATACGGGAGGGGGTTGCGCACTTTATTTTCTTTTTTTGGGTCTTGAAACAGTCACACGCTACTTTCCACCAAGCATTAATAATCCATTCTTTTTTTAAGGTTTTTATTGTGCTCTATTAAAAACGTGAGCTTCTTTATTTAACAAGCATTTTTTGTTAAAGAAAATTGTCCCCTTTGGTTTTTATACACCGATAGATTAAGCTTACTATCTGATTACCACACGTCATTGAAAAGCGTTACTGTACAGAACTGTATTTATGAAAGACGCACAAAAAAAAACTCGAATTGACCTCATTCTGACGTAGACTCATTTTTTAAAAAAAGTAGGAGTAACCATGACAAGCAGTGGGCTGACAAATGGTTACTATGAACTGAAAATAAAAACTTGTAGCAGGTTTATGATGGGAGGGTCGGGTAATTTCAAAGACCGGGACAGTGTCCGGGAAACCTTTTTCCTGACAAGGTTTTTTTTTTTTTTTTTATTGTTATTTCTCCAGAGTTTTTTCTCGATCAAACAAAAAGATGTCTGGTACTGATCCCGTTTTAGAAGAATTCCCCATTGAAATGATGGAGGATGCCGATGCTGTTGCCAAAGAGTGGATCGAGGCAGAATCCAGCAAAGAAGTGGTAAGCTAAAAAAGCATAAAAATAAAAAAACAAGCTAAAAAACCAGTCCTTTTTAGAAACGTATTAAAAAAGTTGGATCGAGTGTGACACCTCTCAAGGTATATAACATCAAAGAAAAGAATGATAATATAAGTGAGCTGACATCTCTTCTAAAAAAAAAGATTAGTAATTGTGGTATTATTGCCAATTTTGATAATAAAAGAGCAAGAGCGATTAACCGAGTTGAATTGGATACCGAGATTGACTTGAGTAAAGTGCAACAGGTAATAAATGACAAAAAAAGGGCGGGGGAGACAAGTAAAAATGACAGATCCTCGTTTAGATTATGGTTTCACCACCTGTCGCTTATCCTCACAAGGCCCATTTCAACTATGTGAATGTAAGACATACATGATTTCTTTTTTTTATGTACAAAAACTTTAAAAGTGTTTTTCTTTTTCATTTTGACAGCTGATTCTTGTGACGAGTGATCCTGTTCCCTATTTGGCGCCTTATCTGTATCAAACCAATGTAAAGGTGACACAACCCGAGAAAGAGGAACAGGGCCGTAAATATCCTAGTAAAGAGATTACTTTAAAGAACGACCTCAGAGATTACTTATTGATTAATAAGAATGGTATTCGTTCTCGTTTCACTATTCATGAATATCACGATGTTTAATAAAAAATCACCCTATATTTACTAAAAATGTATTCTCCGAAGTTTTAAATAAAAACACAGGGCAAAAAACTTTTTTCTTTTCTTTCTTTTTTAATCATCATTATGCCACTTTCCATGATTACAACGTATTCGAGCATCTCTCTCGAGGAATTAGTAAGTATTTGATATAGTATGACTTGTGTAGTGCGACTCTAATTCATATTGGAAAAAGGGAGTACTCGAACGTCAGTTTGAAAAGTCTCATTTCGCACAAACCTCTCCTACAAAGAAAGTCAAGAAACTCGCCATCTTTGATTTCGATTCGACTTTATTCTTCTCACCTTTACTTAGCCCTACGATTTGGCATCCTAATCTCATTCGCTTAGCTACGTCCGAGAGTATTTATGGACCTGGTTGGTGGCGAGATATTCGTAGTCTTGATTTAGGCCCAATGGAAGAACTGGAGAGGAACGCTTGGAAAGGGTATTGGAACGAAAAGATTGTAGCGGATGCTCGAGCGTGTATTGCGGATAAGGATACGATGACGGTGGTATTGACAGGCAGACGATATCATCCCTTTCATCAATTAATACCAGCCATGTTAAAATCAAAGGGTTTACAATTCGACTTGGTTGGTCTCAGACCTGATCCTGAATCCGTTTCTGAATATCAATGGCAAGGAGGGGATGATACAAAGAGTGCTCAGTCGGTATCTTATAATTTGACGGGTTCCGTATTTAAATCTACCATGCATTTCAAGACCTGCTTCATCTTGAATCTTTTACACAAGATACCTAGCTTGGAAAGTGTCGTGATGTGGGATGACCGATTACCTCATGTGAAACGATTTAAAGAGTTTTTGGATGCTGTCAAACGAACGGACGCGATTGAAAAAGGACAAGTGATTCATGTTCCCGGGATTCGACCCAAGTATAATCCAGAGTGGGAAAAGCGAGTGATCACACACATTATTCAAACGCATAATAAAGCACTGGTGGAGTATCAAAGCGGGAAAAAGACAACTGGAAAGATCATGGAACGTTTGGAGTGGACACCCGTCATAGAAGATCCATTATCATTGTCTGAAAAAATATTAAATTTAGCTCCTCAACCTGCACAAACCGTCATTGCATTAACCACCAGCTGTATCCATAATCTTCAAACCTCATTTTCATCTCTATTTCAATCTCAATGCAAACAAAACAAACGGTCCAAATGGAAGGTATTTGGAGGTGAAGAACCACAATTCTTTGGTGATTATGTCTATCTTTCTCAAAAGGTCTTGTCTAGTACAGACATTACTTTGGGTCCGGTAGGTACCCTTGTGGATCTCACCATCCTTGCTTACTCTGTTTCTCCTCGTATACCCTGTTTATTATTAAAAGTACAAGTAAAGGATCAAGAGCACATCTTACCCCTGTGGTATAAACCATCCGAGTTCTTTGATCTCTTTCGATTAAAAGATATCCAATGGCAAACAATTCGATCCAATCATCGTTCATACATAACCGATATCCAAGGTGAAATTAACTATGCCAATCGATTAGGTGTGATTGAAACTCCCCTTCGTATCAAACGTCCTTTATCACCTGACAACGACATTTCACCTATTCCTACATCTCGCTTACGAACCACTTATTAAAATACCCCCTCCTCCCATTTTTTATTTGAACACACACACAACATACATTAGAATAAATGAAAAAAAAAAAGAGTTTTATTTCTTCTCTGCCTGAGAGGTAGGTTGTTTATTGTTATCTTGTGCTTCCGGCGCAACGAGAGGTTTAGGTTCTTGTACAGGCGAATCGTTTGAGGAAGGTTTCTTGATCTGACTCTTTCGTAAACGATCCAATTCTCTTCTTAAGCCTTCATTTTCACGAGCTAATCTTTCACGTTCTTTAGAAGAATATAATAATAATTGTTGCAGGTGTTCCACCGTAGATGTGATATCTGTAGATAAAGCAGCAGAAGGTAAAGAGGAAGAGGAAGAAGTTGCCGGTGTTCTATTTTCAATGCTAACAAGTTAAAAAAAAAAAAACCCTCCCAAAATACAGTTTGCTTATATTTGTTTTTTTACCTCTGATAGAAATCTTCACATGGTGGTATAGAAGAAGGTTTTTTAGAATCAGAAATCGTACGACTACGTGAAGCATTAGTAGGATTTGTATACATAATGGGCATGGTAGCTAATAAATCATGCAACATATTTTTTTGAATTTCCGTCTGTTTCAGCAAATTTTCCATATGTGAATACACCATATTTGGCATCGAAGGGTCCAAGATACGATGTGCTTGACCTCGCGAAATGGAATTACAGGGGGATATCACGGGAGATGGAGCGACTGTCGATTGTGGGGATTCCAACATATTGATAAATTCTTTACTACTATCATTTCCGCCCGTTAATTCAAATCGTCCCTTCTTTCGACATTCGGGAGAAAGTGCTGCAGTGGAGGCTGGCGTTGCTGGTGTCGCTGGTGTCGCTGCTGATACTGCTGCTGCCGCTGCTGCTGCTGACGTCGCCGCTGTTGTTGTTGTTGGTGTTGCTGTGGCCGTTGTTGTCGTAGTGGAAGGTACTTCTGTTGAACAAGTTCCATCGGGTTTTTCGATCGAGAATCGACTTACTTTATTACTCACTGTACCTTCTCTTGTGGAGACATTGGAATTTTCACGCGTCAAGGGGAAACTTTGTAAAGGTGTGGCTGGATCCTGCCCATGGTTACTCTTTTGTTTCACTTCAAAACGTGATTTACGTTCTTGAAAGCTATCTTGACTTGTAGCACGCGACATGGGTGTTGTTCTATATAAATCATTGGCTGGTAAATCCTCCACAGGTGTAGCAGGACGTGTAGGTGTTTGATTCACGCTAAATCGTCCCTTTTTAAATTCTCCTTCTTGTAATCCACCACCTACGGCAGCAGCCGCAGCTGCAGCAGAGGAGGGTGTGCTGTTGTTGATGGTAGAGACCGTATTCATATTGGTGATGACAGTGTTTGTTGGAGAAGTACAAATACCTAATCCAACACCTGTATGAGATAATTCTGTGGCAGACATGGGAGGTGTGTGTAATTCCACAGCGGCAGCAGGAGAAATATGCGATGAATGAGCGGAAGAGGGAGCACTGTCTTGGATAACAAAGCGAGATTTCTTGGATAAGGGAGCACTGGATAGTGTAGGTGGTGGATAACTTACAGCTACGCCAGCAGGTTCACTCAAGATAGGAGAAGGACTTTCGACTACAGGCGACATGACAGATCTGGAGCTGCTAGAGGAAGGGTCCTTGATGACGGCTTCTCCAAATGAAATGTGTTTCTTGGGAGTATCTATTGTGTCGATAGGGGAAGCATGAATACTTGATGTTTTCACAAGGTTGGGTTTGGGACATTCATCGAATTGAACTGTAGACTTTGAACGGTCCAGAGAGGGAGTATCTTGAGGAGTGGCTGTGAGGATGGGTTTCTCTGGCGTGTTCAATGCAGTAAGTTTCTCTGGTGTGTTTGATGCAGTTGGTTTTTCTGGGGTGTTTAATGCAGTGAGCTTCTCTGGTGTATGAACAGTGTCTATGGGTTGATTCTCAGTCTGGGTATCATCAAAGTCCCATTGTTCTGTTGTTTGGAATGCGATTTTTTTATGAGGTATCTTTCGATGAGGTCTCTTGTCCAAGGGGAGTACGTTTGCTAAAACGGATTTGACCAGATAATCTCTCTTTTTGGCCTGCTTGAAAAAGGGATGAATGATTAACTTCTCGGCAGAAGGTCTCTTATTGGGTTCCTTTTGAAGACACAAATCAATCATCTCCTTGAAATATTTAGAGAATTTGTGTTTGGCGTTTTCTCGATCCAAGGTTGGAGGTGCGTTGGAAAGTGTCATCATCAGGACTTTCATAGGAGGGAATTTGGCAAAGGGTGCATGACCGGTGGCTAATTCTAATGCGGTGATACCAAAACTCCAGATGTCCGCTTTATAATCATAACCTGCTTGTTCCATGACTTCGGGTGCCATCCAACAGGGTGTTCCCACAAAGGTTTTACGAACATCACCATTTTCTGCAAGAGAGCTACTCACACCGAAATCGGCCAGAAGGACTGTACCTTGCTGATCCATCAAGAGATTACCTGCTTTCACATCACGATGAATATGGCCATTCTTGTGAAGATAAATTAAACCTTCCAAGGCTTGACGTAGAATGGTAGCAATGGAGATCTCGTCGAAACCGTCGGGGAAACTACTCTTCATGATGTCCAGACACGAACCTGCTGCTAAATAGGGTGTCACAATGTATAATTTCGAGCCATTGACAAATGATCCATACACTCGCAAGACATTAGGGTGTTTGGATAAGGCCATTAAGGCAGTCTCACGCTAGAATTTATATTAGCCGAAACGATACAGACTCGAAAAACGCATAGAATAAATACCCTAAGTTCATCAATTTGGTTACGTTCAAACATATCTAGATCAATCATTTTGATGGCTACTCTCTTTTTTAATGGTTTATAAATAGCTTCATATACAACGGCTGACGATCCATAGCCTACAATAAAAAAAAAAAAAATGACAACATGGGGTGCCGAATTAATTTGATTTGTGATGTGTATGAATGTCAATTTTTACCAATGGGGTTTCCAATGTCGAAATCATCATATTTGTTTGCCCAGTTTGAGTCTGATGGACAAATGGGGGTTGTGGGTTGTGTAACGGGGGAATAAGAAATGGGTTCAGTTTCTGAATGATAAAGAGTCGGTAATCTAACATGAAGACCTTCCGATACACTCATGGATCGTTTAAAATGACTTTGTTTCGCCTGTGTTGTTGGAGTTTGTGTGGGTGAATGTTGACTTGTCAAGGCTCGAATGACACTATTGGATCTCGGTCTTTGTTGTTGTTGTAAAGAATCAACGGGTGAAGTTGCTTTTTGACTCATTTTTTGAACAAGACAATAAAAAAAAGAATTTAAAAAAATAAAAAAAATAAAAAAATAAAATAAAAGGCCAGTAATACATTTTTTTTTTCTTGTACCGCCGAGTCATTTATATGAAAGATAAAAAAATAAAAAAACTCCCTCAATTGACTATAGAGTATGACATTACATAATATGCTCTGATTTTCCTACAGTTACAAATATAGACTTTATTGTTTATGTGTGTAGCAGCACAAATTTAGATTTTTTTTTTTTTCGTGTGCATGTGTTTCAAGTAATACAAAAAAAAAAAAGTAAAAATAAACCTCTGTTTGTTTGGGTGTACACACCCCATGGTTGTTCTACAGCCCACACTACTTTTCAGTGTCCGGCACATTACAGTCCGGCTGAGAGACAGTTTGTCGGATTCTCACGTTAGACAAAAAAAAAGGCTGATCTTGTTTTAAGGTCTTAAAGAGTGTAATGTGGGGGGTTCAATTGAACGTTTAAAAGAAACCCGTGAATGAATTCCTATATTGTGTTTAACCCATGTTGTAAATATGGTCTTACAAAATAAAACCAGCGAGATTCATTTTATTCCCTTGTAAATCTATAGGTCTCTACCGATGATTTAGTAGTCCTTGCGTTTGCAGCGATTTCTTTCTGCACACGAATGATTCATTTCGAAGATCTACTGAATAAAACGTGTACTCACATTTTGAAAGGCCAATCATCTAAAAATTCTGAAGGCCAACAACATGTTTTTCATCTATGTGAGAGCTCTTTCTTTTTAATTAAATAGGACACCAGGTTGTTAACAATTAAAGATCTAAGCCTACTTTTATGGTAGAAAGTGAAACTATACATGCTAGTTTTGTTAAATGCAAAAAAAAGGATGCCTAAAAGACAGTAACCATGCATACTAGTTTATTATCTACAAATCAAGGATATAATCCTAAAACTTTATCTAATTTTACAATCGCTTCGGACAGACAGCAAACAATTCGATTTTAGAGGCTTTTTTTTTTACTTCAAATTTACTGTGGTGGAGGATATAAATGGATAAGGTCGTCTTTTTTTTTTTTTCTTGAAATAATAACCGTCCCACTTCTGTTGGATCCCCTAAGCCTCAGTGATATTGTATTACGGATAGTAAATTAATGCAGAAAATGAAACTTGTAAGCCATGTTGCCCCCCCTCCTTTTGATCGCCGTACCGCGTTTACTTTTTTTGATTTTTTTAAATCACAGATGTCAAAAAAAAAAAAAAAAATTTATATATTAACTTTTCGGTGTCCGGGAGAGTAAGAACAGTCCCGACCGAAAAGAAATTTTTTTTTACGTGATTCTTATAAAAGGGATGCAAATGTTTACTTTTTGAAAGGATTATCTTTTATCACTTTTATATAATCATTTAATATGGTAAGTTACATTCTCATCCATCCATCCATCCATCCATTGGTTGTTAATCATCTTTATTTTTGATAGGGTCGTGGTCCTAAGAAGCATATGAAGCGTCTCGCTGCTCCCAAGCACTGGATGCTTGACAAACTTTTGGGTAAGCAATCTATATTCTGGCTTATTTTTATATAAGTTTTTTTTCTTTTTTTTCTTTTTTTTGGGGATGACAAAAACAAAAAACAAAAGTCAAGCTCAACAATCCGATGTACACTGACGAGCTTTTTATTTTACTGATACAAAAGAAAAAAAAAAAAAAAACTTATATAAATATACCCATTTATATTTTATCATTTTTACTAATCAAATATATTGATTTAGGTTCTTATGCCCCTAAGCCTAGCTCCGGTCCTCATAAGACTCGTGAATGTCTTCCCTTGATTGTTTTCATTCGTAACAGATTGAAGTATGCTCTCAACGGTCGTGAAGTTCAATCTATCTTGATGCAACGTTTGGTTAAGGTTGATGGTAAGGTTCGTACCGATTCTACCTTCCCTGCTGGTTTCATGGGTAAGTGGTATTTTTTATTTTTATTTTGGGGTTGTGTGTTGGGTTTCGGTTGGTTATCGGAAATGATCGTGAGTTCTCACAGCTTAAGCTTTGACGAATCCCGGATGCCTTTCTTTTTCCTTTCTTTAAATTGAATATAACAGACGTTATTTCTATTGAAAAGACTGGTGAGAACTTCCGTCTCGTCTATGACATTAAAGGTCGCTTTGCTGTTCACCGTATCACGGATGAGGAGGCCAAATACAAGTTGTGTAAGGTCAAGAAGGTCCTCGTTGGTTCCAAGGGTATTCCATACATCACCACTCATGATGGTCGCACTATTCGTTACCCCGATCCTTTGATCAAGGCCAATGATACTATTCGTTTCAACCTTGAGGAAAACAAGGTCGCTGATTTCGTCAAGTTCGAGGTTGGTAATGTTGTCATGATCACTGGTGGTCGTAATATTGGTCGTGTTGGTCAACTTGTTCATCGTGAACGTCATATTGGTGGTTTTGAAATTGTCCATGTCAAGGATGCTCTTGACCGTGTCTTTGCTACTCGTATCTCCAACGTTTTCACTATCGGTCAAGGTTCCAAGACTTGGATTTCTCTCCCCAAGGGTAAGGGTGTCAAGCTCTCCATCACTGAAGAACGTGATCGTCGTAGAGCCGCTGCCGCTGCTGCCAACTAATTTATTTCTTTATGAAATAAACAGTTTTTACCATTATATTCCCTGTACATATTATTAAAGTTTTTTATTCATCATCTTATTTTACTTGTCTTTTCTTGAATCGTCTTCTATTTATCTTTTTGATCGCTCTCATATATTGTCACCTTCCTATTGTACTTTAGCTTTTTTTTCCCCTTCACTTAAAAGCCGTTTCATAGAACCATACTTTTCTAATAAACTTGTTTGACTTAATCGTGCACATTTTCACTCTACCAAGTCCATAACTGTACATTGAGTTTATTTACTGGGGATTTGTCTATTCCTCATCTGCAATTCTCTTTAAATGTTTGAATGCTGAAATAAAAGCAGTTTCTCTTTTTCTCCACATATTTGTTTATGCTGTTTGTTCAGCCTTTTTGAAAAGAAATATAAATTTTAACTTTTTTTTTTTTTTTTTTTCGAAAAGACCAATGAGTTTAGTCAAAGATAAGATAATCTTTTATGGAATGCATGAATTTCTCGCTGGTAATATGATAATTGTGAGTAACCCGTATTCCATAGTCGAGGTAATTTAATGTGACAAGAAACTTGTAGCTAAAACATGTCAAGGATACCTCAAATAAAATAAACTGACGTATTGTTTCCCTAAATCCCCCCCCCCCCACCCACCCACATGGTAATATTATTGAAGCTGCAATAATGCAATAGACAGCTTATAGTTTCATACCATAGCTGTATGGCTTATAATCCATTACGTTATTGAATATTGTTACTTTGTAATCAATTGGAAACAGTCACTACGTATAAATGCTAAATTATATCAAATGCTACATAATATCAAGACTTGAAGAGCGTTTGGTATCCCCTCGACATGTATTTCAGTCAATTTGGTCACATAAAGGGCTTTTGGGACAATACAAAACCAAGGGAGGCATTGTTAACGTTCCTGTTAATGTTGATACCACTGTGAGCTGTTTGCCTCGTAATTACGATTCTACTGGCATAATACAAATCAGTTTTAGCAAGAAAATTAAAATTTACGAAAGATTACATAAAGGGTAATGTCAGTCCTGTCAAAATATGGGATGCCGCCCTATATTTGCAATCCACACCTATACATGTCAAATATGATATTCAAATTGCAAATCAAAATGAATGGAATGAAAACAGCATAAATACAAATGTACCTGTTCAGACAAATGAGGACGATGATGACACTGTTGATGAACAAGGGATTGAACTTGAAAGCAATGAAACCAACCCTGCGGAGAATGAGATGGAAGATGAACCATTAAATGCAGGTACAACGGAATCGATTCTTACCAGTAATAATGATTTCACAATTCGACTTGCTCCTGGGGGAAGGAATGACACCTATATCAGTTTTGACGGACAAAGATAGTGATTTCTTATCTTTCCCAAAAGTTTATTACGGTCATAAGCTGGAAGGGTCAGGGTCAGTTTCCTACGGCAATTTGGCAAAGTCCGTTGTACGGAAATGTCTAGAACTCCGTATTTTTTTTTTTCAAATAAACGTATTTTTTAGAATCACACGATGGTCTTACACGTCGATTGACATGCCATATCATCTAAACTTCATGGGATGATCGATTTCTGTTTTCCATAAAATCTGCTTCACTGTCATTACAAGTTACCACTGAAACACGTATAGACAATTACCAAGCACTGACTTGCTTGGGAGTTGTTTGCAAGTGTTTCTATTTTAAGTAAAGGCTCAAACATTATGGATGATAAAATAGACAAATGAAATCATCCTGACATAAGCTTGTTTATCTATAAATAAAGCTGGTTCACACACTTTATTCTTCTCCTTTTCTTTTCCCTCAACATACTTCTTTTATCGTATGAAAGTAATCGATCACGTAAAAAGGTTTGTTTAATAGTGGCTCTTGTTTCTTTGAAAAGAAGCTAAATTGAAAAAGATATATTGTGATATTGCGGCTGCGGCTAGTCTTTGCTTTAGGAGGGCGACCTCCTTGGCAGGGTTCTTGAGTTTTTGGAACTCACGGACTGTGAATAGCAGAGATTTCATTTTAAATAGGTGTCATCATACTGGGCTGCTGGTCTTGGCTGGAGTTTTTGTATGTGGTATGAAAAAAATACGTTTGAAAAAAATACGGAGGTCTAAACATTTCCGCCATGATCAGACAATTGGGGGTTCCGACTTTGTTTGTAACTGTTTCTGCTGCTGAGACCAAATGGAACGAACTTTTATGCATATTAAAGAAAGTTATAGATGACGATGTTATGACAGAAGATGAAGCTGAAGAGTTATCATACGATGAAAAAGCCAGATTGTTTTTTCTTGTTTTTTGCTAATATGCTCGTCATGACAACATCAGACACAGAAGCAACTTGTGACAAATGCAATCTATCGGTTGGAAGGTCACTAAAAAGTCATGAAAAGAATTATCATGCACCTTCTATTTCAGTGAAATACATGGAAAGCGATGATTTGTTCTTTTTTGTTATTATTTTGTGTCCTATTAATGAACATATGAAAATCCCCTTCTGCTAGATTCTAATCAGCCAACTTCCCTTCTTTTGATACGCAATAAGGTGACAAGCAGATTTGAATGCCCCTTTTGCAAGAAGACATGGCTCACCTGTTCAAGCACTCGCTCTCATTTTTATCGATACGCTGGGAAATTGCTACGGTTGTTCTAGCGAGAACGAATCTAGTTATGAAGAAAGTGACGTTGAGGACACGACCATTGCCACCATTAAAATAAAAGCCACATAACTCATCACTGTGTTTCCTGAATCTGTTGACAGCCCCCAAAGAAGCTTTGATGAATCGATTTTACGTGCCTCAAGACAATCAGGCAGCTCTACCTGTGAGAGAAACAAGGCCCTGTGGAAGAAATCGCTCTAACCCACTGCAACAATCTTATGCCTTTGATTGCCAAGAATCAGGACCACAGTTTTCACGTCAAACATATCACAACTGGCAAGAAACGTGCATGGGATAACAGTGGTATATCTACAAATGTAAATCCAACAAAGAATATCGAAGCAGATCTCATGTCAATCCTGCATTACGGCCCTTACGCCGAACAATTATCCAAACGATGCTTCAAACAGTTGGACATCAGTTCCTGTCAATTATTGAACGAAGACTGGACGTTTTTACCTCAACTACGATTTGCCTGCGCTCAATTAAAAAAGCTAGCATCTTGGCAAGCAATCAAAATGCAAACAAGGTCGATCAGTTTGATATGCGATACCAACTTCGGCAACTACGATCAAAGTTCCATTACCCTTCAACATACCTTCTTAGTCGCGCGTCAAGTATCTTTGCGAATGACTTGCGACACCTCTCCAATGTTTGTTGATCCAATGAACCGGTTCGTTTGCCCATCGAAATCTTTTTTTTTTTCTTGTAAAATTTGGTTATCTTTCTATTATTTGCCGCCACGTAAAATCCATAGCCAATTTGTCCCAAATAATGTATCAAAGTATCTCTGCAAATGTTACTATGACGAAGTTTAATTTCAGCGTCCATTTTCTCGTAAAACACAAATGACTAGCGTCATGTTATTCCCTCTAGCCGTCTGGGATGTCTGTCATTCATTTTTTTTTTTTTTTTATGTGCACCATTTGGTTTTTCACTTCAGCAAACAAATCAGTGGATGAAAATGTGAAGTCTCGTGTCCTGAATGGTTACTAGTACGCTATTGCTATCTTAATCTTCAAATAAAAATTCTCGATGTTGTGTGTGAAAAAAAAAAGCTAAGGATAATAGCTACTCTTTTATACTTTACAAACGCCTTACTTTGTTCTAATTAATATCGCTGTCAAAATGAAGTGTCATCACTTCACCGGTTTCTATAGCTAATATCTGAAACATCTCTGGCAATAGAAATCATACCATCGCATTTTTGGTCTGCGTTTTCATCATGTTGAATCAATGGTACTCCTTCTTTTTTTGTAAAAAATGCTCTATCTTTTATTTTTATTACACTTCCTCACCAAGGTTCACTCAAGCCAAAAAAAAAAAAAAAAAAAAAAAAAATCAGTGTGAAGGAACGCAGTTGGAACGCAGGCCCAAAAAGTTTTTAAAGAACCTGAATTAGCTCTCCATTACAACAGCTGTCTGGATATTTATGAGAATGAGAAACAAATCCTTGAAAATTACTCAATTCCAAACGCTTTGATGCCTTGCTGGTTCGTGCCATCGACGTCTCGCGATAATTCACACCTGCTGCTTTCCACTGAGTAATAATATCAAAACGAAGCTGTAAAGTTCTTGGAGCATCTCTTTCTGCAGTATATTTTGATGCTTGCTTCAATGATAAAGCACATTTTTCTCTGATATGCTTATACAGTCCACTAATAGATATTTCAAGACCTGGGAATGCTTCACAAAGGTTACTACTGCGTCCGAAATAAAGAAGACTTTTTCCAAAAATGAAAATGACTTCGTCTGAAAAATGTCCAAAAATGGTTCGAAAATTTTTGGAAATCGTCCGAAAACCAAGTAAAAACACTGTATTGCTACTAGATACAAGAAGTATATTTCAATTTCAATACGTCATTTTTTTTTTTATGGTTGAGATGGGTGCGGGGACCTGTTCTTGATATTAAAAAAAGTTGCATCATGCCTTAATCAAGAAAATCGAGTCATTTAATTTCTGACAGATTAGATGAGTTCTATTTGGAAGTTCGGGTTAATACTTGAAGGATCGATGTGAATTTTTCTATCAATATTCTTTCCTATTTCAAGAGGCCTCACCAATAAAACGAGATGATCTTGAAATTCTGAAGATCAAAATTTTATATCACAATCAGATTCATCTGGGGAATAATCGATCATACGATAAATGTATGCAACCCGATTATACAATTTTTTTTTTTTTTTTTTTTTTCGGTTCTACAACGTACGCCCTTAGCTATTGCTGAAACTTAAAAAATAAAACCTCGATCGAGTTTCACTATCTTCAAATCGAGACTTCTATTGAATTATACGATTTCTAAAGAAAATTGTTTATCTTTGTTTATAGATGCAGCAATCCCCATTGTTTTTAATGATTACCAAAAAGTCGATCTTTTTTTTTTTTTTTGAATTGCAGCTTCAAATCGATTTCACATTTGAATCGGAAAATATTTATCAATGTTTTTGTAAACTCCTATTCGGCTGCAACAACCAAGGAACCTTATTGTGTATTGATTACTAAGAATCGATGATTTCATTGTTATTTCCAAAATGGAAAGAGTTTTCTATGTCATCATCAGTCGACTTTGTATATATTAGCTTTTTCTTGAAATTTTTAATACCTATTGTTTATCGCTCTCAAAAAAGATAAACACTGACGTAAATAAATTCAAATATAAACATTACTGCCAATTATAGGAAACCACAAGAACTGATATTAAATAGGTTAAACATATAGCCTTTTCTCCTACAATATATTCAATATGCTTGGTTCTAGTTTTAGTCATATTAGACGCGACTCATATTAGGAAACGTCAATTTCACGCTCATTTTTTAAATATATAATATTTAACCTTATTTTGACACACGCAAAATCGCGATTACATATCACGATTTAACGTCCGAAAACTATTCATGATATCTATACAAAGTGGTATATAAAAATTAGAGAACAGAAACACCACATTAATTAAAAACATGACAATAATTCTATATTACTCAAAAGAACAAAAAGTGGCGTGGTAGGGAAAGCAAATCAGGATAATAATTGACACCTCGTTACTCAACGAATAAAATCTTTTACCGTAACTTTGGAACTTACATCTCCGCCACCAATGACTTGTCAATAACACGTGAGCCTTACGTAACTGGGGGGTCCCTCTTGGTAGCTCACTATAACATACTGAGACCAAAGCCTCATCAAGACTTCACTGCGGTCATAGACACTTTGTCGTTTGTTATAGACTTTTTCCAGTGGTCCACATTATAAGAGGGAGACAGGGTAATTGTGGAAATATAGCGTGGTCGTGCTACCATCCCCAAATGTAGAAAGCAAATAAACAGATGCCTATATTTGATGATTATATGCCATTTATCAACGTATGCGTAAGATGTCTTGACTCTAACTGAGCCATTTTTTTTTTCAGTAAAACACTTTCTCTGACATTTTATTTGTTGCACCCTCCTAATAGCACACATATTTCGCTTTTCACTATTCTTTTTATTATGTGAGATTAAACTGGGTGTTACATTTTGATATCTATGATAATTTCAAGAGAAAACAGCCTATTTGTTTATTTATTACAGCATAAATGGTTTTCAGCGGATAGCGCGAATGATTGGTTTTTAACACTGCGTATGAAAAGCATGGCCACATGTTATAGCAGTAACTTCTGCGATTTCAAGACTATCAGTACAGATTTCACAATATGCACTTTCCAAAATTTTGCTTAAAAGTTCATTCAAGAGTGAGAAAAAAAAAGAAGGTACAAGTGAATGTAGGGTATCTTTGTGCATATACGTAAAAAAAAAAAAGTGTCTTGATCAACATTCCCACACTAATTATTTCAAAACAAGTTTCAGATGGAAAAGACGCAATTAGTAATCAGCACAAGAGTGAAGTCGTTAAAAGTGGAATCAATAGCACTTTATTCTTTGATGCAAGATAATAATTCATTAAAATTGTTAATGGAACAATTTTTTCAGTTGAGTGAAAATACCATGTAACAATTCGAGCTGAACAGTGAGGACTTCAGAATCAGCCCTTGAGATAGTCTCACCAATGTCGACCAAGAGGTCTACAACTGGTTTACACTGACAACTATTATTATCGGATGATAGATCTTGTTGATGTAAGGGTTTAACTGAAATTACACCATTATAATAATAGCGTGTTAAATCTTTTTGACAGATTGGACACAATGCAGAATACTTGCGCAAAGTTGTAATGCTTTTTATTACATGAAGAGTAATTAATACAATCGGTCTGTTACGAATTTGATCACACATCATTAGTCTTTGAAGCAGTATTTACCAATCCTTATGAAAGATGTGCCCGCATGAAGAAACATCAACCAGGGGGTCTTCAAACAATTTGCCACAAATACCACAATAAGTATTAGCAAACATTTTTGTATGAATAAAAAGATGTCTGAGAGGAGAAAAAAAAAAGAGTTTTTATTTTTTCATCACTAATAAATCAAATATTATGCAAAAAAAAAAAAGGCATTTTTTGATCAATGGAGACCACATTTTAATTTTTTAAAAAAAGTTTTTTCAAATGTGAGTGAACTTCCTTTAAAATTGTAATTTTTATGGTACTGTTGTCCGACTTTTGTGCATTTGCGAGTAAATCCATTAAACTGTTTAAAAGTAGGTCAATTCTGCGAAATAACGATCCAGAAATGTTGAGCGCTTGTTCTTTTGTAGTAAAAATTAAAGGGACATAAACATGACCTATATCAGAACCAGAAGAGTCACAACGACATGTCTTGAACGCATCAGAGATATCGTTCCAAACGACAAGACTGAAACGTTAAAAATGATGTTACATATAAACTTTTTTTTTTTTTTTGGTCGGTAGCCTTATTTTACCAATTTGTATGAAGAATGTGTCCACACGGAAGAACACTTAGTCCAGTAGCATCATTATCGGTTCTTTCAATGCAAAGTAAGCAAAAGTTATTTTCGAACATGGTTGAAATATAATGAGAGAGAGAGAAAAAAAAGACTCAAAAAGTCATATTTGATTAATTTTATAATAAGCGATATATTTTAGAATAAGCAAAATGAATCAAGCAAACTCTCTTAATCGAAAAAAGTGGCTATTTGTTCACGAACAGAATTTGTCATTCTAAGCTTGTCTTCAAGATTTTTAACCATTTTAATTTCTTTAATGGACACTTTTATAGCATCCAGCATTTCATCCACTGTCTTAAAAGTGCGTTCTTTATCGAGAATTGTGTCCTTTGAGACAACGGCTATTATCGTACCATTGCGGGAAGTGAATGTAGACAATTCTTTGTGACAGACTGGACAAATGGATGCATATCTATTCCAAAAAGAAATACTAATAATACAAAAGTTAGAGTCTTTAAACCAATGTGAAGATCTCTATTAGTAAATACCACTGTGAGTGAAATAAATGTCCACATGAGACAATGTTTACATTCTCATGATTGCTGGTGTTCTTGTAGCAAATAATACAAACGTTTTCGACCATACTTTAAATATGAGTGATAATATATGAGTGAAGGGAAAAAGAAATAAAAATATGGGGATCACCCTTTTTACAAGACCAAGAAATATGATTAATAGTAACAGAAAGAACACAAAAAAGTAAATGACAGGCTGATGCTGTCAAAATTGCATATTTTACCCATTTCATCTTTAGTAGAGCAAATGATTTAAAAAAACAAATGAATTTAATAAACTATCCCAAATTTGGGATGGTTGCAATGGAACATTCTGTCTTATATATGGTCTGATAGAACAATTGAGTTGAGACTGCGCAAAAATAAAACCACAGAAATGAAAGGTTAATAGAGTGATACTCGAGAATGACAGAGTAAATTTTTTTATCGATCTATTTAGTGGAGCGTTTGAGAGAGCGTTACTAAAACATAGTGAGCTAAATCCCCCCCCCTTTTTTTTTTGAGATAAACTTCGAGATGCATTATTTACACCTGCTAAATTTACCACACATGCTAACCGTAAATGGGTATGACATTTTCAGCATGATTGATCCGGCAATCTGGGGAACATGGATCACTACTCCATTATTATTTAGAAAGAAAACTCTTTAGATCCTACCAAAAAACATTTGTTCAAGTCCCACGTTATGTATTCAATGAGATCATCAAGTTTTAGTAATTTGATCATGTACTCACTAGGTAGATATGTTTAGATGCTTATTGGCTAATTAAGCATGTAGAGTAATTGGGGGGTACAATTTAAACCACCAGATCGAACTCTTTCTCAGCAGTGCTTAGTCAGGGAGAGAAATGAATAAAGAGTTGCTTTCAAACATTGGTTTTTTGACAGCCAAACAACAACAATAATAAAAAAAATGAGTTTCAAAGATTCATGTCAATGCCGATCACTTTTTTTTTTTCTTAAACAATGAAATACAGCGAAACAAAAAATGTAACTGCGTCACACGCAAAAAAAAAGGGGAATATGTCTCGCCTTTTTCCGAAACCCATATGTAAAAGTTTGTTTGCTTAATTTTTTTTTTTTTGTAAAAAAAAAGAATTCAAGAAACAATTATCATCTTTCTTTGTTAAATAATAACAAACAATAAACATGACGATAATTGATACAACTTGTGTATCAAGGTAAGAAAAGCACGTCTATCTTCTCAAAGGAAATACTAACCATACAAAAAAAGTGAGGTGAATATGTATGTTCGACCAAAACCTATCGTTCACGATCAAAAAGTCACTATTCATCATTGGTAAACAAAAAAAAAAAAAAAAAAAAAATAACCAGTTATACATAACTCCCTTCTAAAATATATAAATACTTCATAGGCAATTGCGAGATTTATTATTAACCGATGATGAACAACACAAGCATGAATTAATTGTACCCACCGGACAAGATATTTACAGAGTATGTTTGTTGGAATTTTTTTTTTGTTGTTGTTTGTGTAATAATGACTGACGATGTAGAACCCACTATAGTATAATTTCATGACTGGACAACGAAGTTATTTATTAAAAGACATTGGCTATCCTCCTACTTGCATGGCTTCAGGGTAAAAAAAAAAAAAAAATGGAGTCTTGTGTATACCTTAATTATAACCCTTTTTTCATATTTAGATACGGGTATTGGGCTGCAGGTGGACAAAGAGGTGACTTGACATTGAAGGATACAAATAGTGAATATCAAGTGTAAACATTAGTATTTTATTTTTTATTTAAAAAAAAGAGTACCAATCATTGCTAACCCACAATATACATAGGAGCATCACTACCTCACCAGGATGCACTATCAATAACGGACTGTGTTTTTCTCATTTAAATGGAGAAACCCGATTATTGGTTTCGAATAATGATGCATCTATCCGAGTCTTTTCTGTGCCAGATCTAGAGTTGATTGATACATTAGATTTCCGAACCGCAGTTAACCACAGTAAAAAAAGAGAGAAAGAGAGAGAGTGTGTGTAAAAGATGAGGTGGTATACTAACATTTGTTAATAGCCTCTGTGAGTCCGGACGGACGAAAGATGATTACGGTAGGAGACGATAACCGAGTCCAATTATTCAATGTGACCAGCAGTGGACAATACGAATTATCGACGACCATGGCAGTATCGCGTGACGCGAACTTTTCAGTGGCATGGAACCATTCCAGCGAGAAATTTGCCGTGTCAAGCCAAGATGGATCGGTGCATGTGTGGGATATTCGTAGCCGAAATCCTTTGGCCCGATTTGCGGGATTACATCCGTCCATTACAAAGGGAGCAGCACGGTGTGTGAAATTCACTCAGACGGGAGCAGTGGATTTGCTGGCTTTTACAGAGCATGTGTCTCATGTACACATTGTGGATGCGCGTACATTTGATGGACAACAGACGTTACGTGTTGGTTCAGCAGGTCATGATACACCCATTACCGGCCTGTGCTTTTCCAATGACAGCCAAAAGATGTTTGTCGGTATGTATTTTTATTATGTCTGTCACCGGTTATAGCTAAATATATTACATAGGACTGGAAAATGCAATTCTTGATTTCAATATAGACACTGGTGCTCGTAGAAGATTTGCTCATGGCAAATTACTTTAAAATTGTATTATCATTATTATCTCCCCATTCATTGTAAATATATATGTTTTTTAATTATTATTTTGTAAAACATGTTATCTGTATATCATTGAACGGACATACATAAGATTAAATTAGCACAGGAGGGAGCAACATTCTTCTGCGGCGCAGCAACAGAGTAAACCCGAAAGACTATAGAAAATCGAGCGCGTTTTTAAAAAAAGATGGGAGATATTTAAATATATCTAAATATATATTTACCATGCTAAACAGCCGCCACCACCTCCGCTACCCTGTTGTTGTTGTTGTTGTACAGGTGGTTGTGCGTACATTGGTTGTTGCGGTTGATAATAACCTAAAGAAAAAAAAAAAAGTGATTAACCTTTTTCTGCTGTTGGGGTGATTTTTTTTTTCGCCGCTAACTAATCATTTTTTAAATACTATTACCTTGTTGCGGAGGTGGATTGTATTGCTGTTGATACTGAGGGTTTTGAGGTGGAGGAGGAGTATAATACCCTTGAGCTTGTCCACCTGAATTCTGATTGTAATTCATACTGATAAAAATTAAAAAAAAAAAAAAAAAAGATAAAGTTTAAACAAATGTTTTTTCTTTCACTTTGTAATATTTCCCCGAGCTTCTTTTTTTTTTTTATTAAAACATTGTATTGAAACGCCAAAACAAATACAAGATGCGGAGTGTAGAAAAGGAGGTCATTGACATCATGTGCTAGATATGGTAATAACCCCCTCCTCTTTTTGAAAAAAAAAGGACTCGAACATTCTAGGGGCGTGTCTACAAATTGTGTGTGCCTTTTTTTGTATATGTGTGTGTCTGATGTATCCCGTGAAACATGAGCAATAAAATCGATCGAATAATTTTTTTGTGTGTTTCTTCTTAATTCTTTATCTTCTTTTTTTCTAATTTTTTCTTTTTTTTTTTTTTAAAAAAAAAAAAAAACTTCTCTTTTTCTTTCTCTTCTTCTTCTTTAAAAAAATGACAACCAATACTGAGGAAGAGGATTCACAAGAAAAGAATTCGTCTGTTGTCCTAACAACAAGTAAATTCACTTTTCTTGAACCGAATCTCGATCTCATGACGAATTTTTCTAGCAAATCACCTATTAACAAAAAAGAATATAAATTACCTAGTTTTTCCAATTCAAAGTAAAAGTAAAAAAAAAATTATATATATTTATAAACAATGGGCAAAAATATGAGAAAACAAAAAAGATAAAATGCACTGACACTTTCTTCTTCACTTTGTAGTGCCTACTTGCTAGCGGTAGTAGAACAACCTCAGCAATGTCGAATGTCTGGCTATGGCGAAAAGGACAGGCGTCCCATTGACCCTGCACCCATTGTCAAACTCATCATTTTAAATTGTGACCAGGACAATATCGAAGAGTAAGTGCATAGTCTATCAAGAAACAATCATCATTTTTGGCTCATGGGTAAAGAATCATAGTGAATTGGAAAGTCCCTTCTATGTAGTTCATGTCTCATTGTATTCAGAAGATATGCAAACCCAACACGATTTAATTCAAGGTGCGGCTGTACCTCATAGCGTACGCTTCCTTGTAGGTTCACTTGTCAGTTCACCCAGTATATTAAAAAACCTACAAGATGAAAAAGGCTACTATTTTGCCTTTCCTGATCTAAGTGTTCGAATGACAGGTCGATATCGACTTCATTTCAACCTAATTCATTTAGCCATGTAAACCAATCATATTGTCATCATCATACACACACACAAAAAAAAATTAGACTAAACCTAATGTTTCCTAGGAACAAGGTCATTACCGAAGTTTTTTCTGATCCGTTTACTGTTTATTCTGCCAAGGCCTATCCGGGAATGAAAGGTTTGCATAATATGTGTCACACGTCATTTATTTTTATCCATTTAAAGCTAAAGCCGTTTTCCCCAAAAAAAAAAAAAAAAAAAAAAAAAAAATTACAAACTATTATAGGATCAACTGAATTATCAAGGCACTTGGCCAAACAAGGTTTAAAGCTAACTGTACGCACCCAAATTCGTACCAAAAAGAATTAAAACTCAAAAACCTTAAAAAAAAATAATATAATAAAAAATGTAATCACCGACTGGGGGGAGGGGGGGGAGGGAGAGAAAGAGTGTGTGTGTGTGTGTGCGTGTCCGTGCAAGTTTGGGGGGAGGGTAATCAAAGCGTACAGCGTGTGATGTGATTGATTCTTTCTTTATCTCCTGTAATTTGTTATTGGTAAGCTATTGAATTTTTTTTTTGCGTACTGAGAAGCGTATGGGATGGATGAACAAAAAAATGGGATGGATGGATAGGTTAGGATGGAAAAACGGTCTCTTTTTTTTTTTCTCTCGTAGATGGCACATGCAATTGAAAATTACATTCTCACATTCACTTATACATTACGGAGAGAGATGGAAAGAGAGATGGGGAGAGAAGGGGGAAAAGAGATGCTGTTTGGAACCGCAGTTAATGCCTGTTCATTCATCATGATGTTTATTCATCAAAATGAGTTAGTCATGTGAGGGAAGAGTGACCTTCTTTCATTTGCTGACTAATAGCTAGTGTATATAAGAAGGAGGTGAAAAAATAAAATAATAGTTCATCTCTTAATTAACACTCTTTTTTATAACTTTAATAGAAATGGGTCGCCGTCCTGCTCGCTGTTACAGATACTGTAAGAATAAGCCTTATCCCAAGTCCAGATACTGTCGTGGTGTTCCCGATGCCAAGCTCAGAATCTACGATTTAGGTCGTAAGAAGGCGTCAGTTGACGATTTCCCTCTCTGTATCCATTTGGTCTCCAACGAATATGAACAACTCTCTGCTGAAGCTCTTGAAGCCGGTCGTATTTGTGCTAACAAGTATATGGCCAAGACCAGTGGTAAGGATTCCTTCCACATGCGTATTCGTGTCCATCCTTACCATGTCACCCGTATCAACAAAATGTTGTCTTGTGCTGGTGCCGATAGATTGCAAACTGGTATGCGTGGTGCTTTCGGTAAGCCTAACGGTCTTGTCGCTCGTGTCAACATTGGTCAAATCATTTTCTCTGTTCGTACCAAGGACTCCAACAAGGCTGTTGTCATTGAAGCCTTGAGACGTTGTAAGTACAAGTTCCCTGGTCAACAAAAGATCATTCTCTCCAAGAAGTGGGGTTTCACTCCTCTTGCCCGTGCTGATTTCGTTGAGGCCCGTGCTGCTGGTTTGATCAGACCTGATGGTTGTTACGTCAAGTTCATCCCTCAAAAGGGTACTCTCAAGAACTACTTCAAGGAAGCCTCTTTGGTCTAAATTTTCTTGCTTTCAATAAAAAGTCATGTACAAAATAAATAAAAAAAACGATGGTTTTTGTCAACAAAAATACATTATCCCCCCCACACACACACTAAACACACGCTTTTATGATTTAATGTCAAGTCTTTTAAAAAAGAGAGAGAGAGAGAGAGAGTTACACTACATTTACTATTGACAGTTTTTATATGTATAAATATATATTTTGGGCATCTATTTATAAGTTTTTTATTCTCTGTTCATAAATATAAAACGTGATGTCCATGCCAACATCAGTGCAACATTTGTCGGAGTGTTTTACAAGTAGAAACAATAAAAATAATAATAAAAAAAAAAACGTGTGTTTCGAGAGGTTGCCATCTTACGACCCTGATATTAAAACTGATAGCACATAGATCATGTGGTTGTTAAATTCTCGTGGGTTCATATTTTCCGATTGTGTGTGTGTGTACAACAAAGTGAGAGCAGTTAGTCATTCCAGATGAAAAAAAAGGGCCTAGAAACACGCAATTATTATTTCTAAATTACTTCTTTATTTTTATATAAAGATATATGAAAAAGGCAAACAATTAGTGATATAATTAGAGTAAGAAGTGTGAGAAAAGAAAAAAAACGGGAGAGGAGGTGGCACCTCACACCAACAGAAAAAAAAGAATAGGAAAGCTTCTTTAGCCTAAATACTTGATTTTTCCACTGTTCCTGGAAAATTGCATGTGGATGCTTTCCCTTTTTGTTGTCCAAGATAAAAAAAAAACTTTTTTTTCTCCGCCTATATTAACAAAGAAAAAAATTATCATGACCCGCCCCCCTTCCTCTCTCTCTTCTTCTTCTTTTTTATATATATTCTTTTTATTTTTATTTTCTGTTGTATATATATATAAACTATGACAACAACACTACCCGAGAACGATGGCACGAATGCATCATGGTTAAAACAGCGTTCTTCGTTATTCAATAATAATAGCAGTAAACCCACCAAAGTCGTGGATAAAGAATTAGCACGATTAAAAAATATGGGTGTTTCTTCTGTCTGGTCAAATAAATTTGTAAAACAAGATACAGGAGGTACAGTTAGCCCTCGTCTACGTTTCGCCTTAAATGATATGTCCCCACGTCCTAACCCCAATTACACAGGTCGCTCACTTACTTCCCCCGTATCACCCAAATCTCCCGTCTTTAATACAGCAGGTCGTACTCGTACTTTATCCGCTGCATCCTCAAAGACAGACGACGACAGTAGTAATCCTTTAGGTTATCTCTCCAAAGCTTCCGTCTCAAGTCTCGACTTGAACGATTCAAATACCAATCTTCATCGTCTATCTTCTGCAAGATCATCACTCACTTCCTTTTCTAGTCGTCCCACTTCACCCTCGATTGAACCACGACGCAAATCTTCCACCACTACATCTACTATTACATCAGCTACTGCACCCACTACTGCACCCGCTGCTGCACCCACTACTACACCCATCACTGCACCCACTACTACACCCATCACTGCACCCACCACCGCAGTATCATCACCAGCACCAACACCATCATCAGCAGTTATCAACACTCCTGCAAAAACTGTCACAAGTATCGATGAAGCCGCCTCTCTTTGGTTCCAATGTGAGACCTTGAAAACGCAAAACGCTCAAAGTAATGCGCGTCTCACAAAAGCCAACCAAGACATTGATTTCTATAAGCGTCAGTTGGAACAAACCGGCGAGTTGGCTCGTCAAGCTACCCACCTTCAGCAAAAGAAAGAGGAGGAAGAAGTGGTTACCGAAAAGGTGGTTGTACCTGATAATATCGATGAAGCTGCCTCTCTTTGGTTCCAATGTGAGACCCTCAAGACACAATTTGCTCAAAATAATGCTAAATTAAACAAGGCCAATGAGGATATTCAGTTCTTTAAACGTCAGTTGGAACAAACTGGAGAGTTGGCACGTCAAACTGTTGCAGTCGAAACTGTTGCTCCTGCTGCTCCTGCTGCTGCCGTGGTCACTCCTCCTACTAAAGATGTGGATGAAGCTGCTTCTCTTTGGTTCCAGTGCGAGACGCTCAAGACACAGTTTGCTCAGAATAATGCCAAATTAAACAAGGCGAATGAAGATATCGAATTCTACAAACGTCAGTTAGAACAAACTGGAGAGTTGGCACGTAAAGCTACCGAAGTGGTCGAAACCTCTCCCGCCATGTCTCCTGTAATTGCTCCTACCAAACCTGATCATTTGGATGAAGCCGCTTCTCTTTGGTTTCAATGTGAGACCCTCAAGACTCAGTTTGCTCAAAGTAATGCCAAGTTAAACAAGGCCAATGAAGATATTCAGTTTTTTAAAAGACAATTAGAACAAACTGGAGAGTTGGCGCGTCAAACCGTCACAGCCGAAGCTGTTGCTCCTGCTGCTATTGCTGCTGCTGCTGTGGTCACTCCTCCTACTAAAGATGTGGATGAAGCTGCTTCTCTTTGGTTCCAGTGCGAGACGCTCAAGACACAGTTTGCTCAGAATAATGCCAAATTAAACAAGGCCAATGAAGATATCGAGTTTTACAAACGTCAGTTGGAACAAACAGGCGAATTAGCCCGTGAAGCAGCTACAGTGATTGAAGCCTCTGCCGTCATGTCACCTGTTGTCACTCCTACTAAACCTGATAATTTGGACGAAGCTGCTTCCTTGTGGTTCCAATGTGAGACGCTCAAGACTCAGTTTGCTCAAAGTAATGCTAAACTAAACAAGGCAAATGAAGACATCCAATTCTTTAAACGACAATTAGAACAGACAGGAGAATTAGCACGCGAAGCAGCTGCCAAGGAAAGTAAAGCCGAGGAAACCAAGGCCAATGAAGCGGCTTCTTTATGGTTTCAATGTGAGACACTCAAGACGCAATTTGCACAGAGTAATGCTAAATTAAATAAGGCGAATGAAGATATCGAATTTTACAAGCGCCAATTAGAGCATAACGGGGAGCTTGCACGTCAGGGAGCAGCAGCGGTAGCCGAGGACAAGGAACGTGAAAGTCTGCGTGTGAGACAATTAGCGGAATTGATTGTGAAGCAAGATAAACTATTGGGCGAGTACGAAGTGCATTTGGACGATCTGACTCGCATCACCAATGAATCTGTCTATGTAGGGGAAACCCAGGCGGAAATGGACAAGTTGCGACAAGAAGTCTCGGCCCTGAACAAGCAAAAGCTCATGATGGAGGGTTCGATTGCCGCTTTACGTGCGGAATTAGAAATGAGTCAAAGTCAGATGCGATTGATGATGCTTGTCTCCACCGAAATTCAAAACGAGTTTGATCTTTACAAGGAAAAGATTCAGACGGATATCAAACGTTTATTGTTAAAGAAGCAGGAGGAACATGAAGCTCAAATGAAGGATCTGCGTCAAGGTTTGGGGCTTACACCTGAAGTGGTAGTGGAGGATACCGCGGTTCATCAGGAGTTGGTGGATTCGCTTCGTCAGCAAGTAAATACCTTAACCGAGGCTCTACAGGAGAAGGAAAAGGCACTCATCACGAGGGATGGAGACTTAGAAGCCAAGGAACGTGATTTAGTAAAAGCTAAGCAAATTCAAGAGACCACCGTCATTGAAATGGAAAACAGGCTCAAGAACCAAAAAATGGCCATGGATGCAGAAATGATGAAGTTGAATCAAACCATTTTGGAAAAGGATACTCTCTTGATGGAATTCATGAGTAGCCGTAACAACAGTCGTGAAGTCATTTCTGCAGCGGCTTCCATGTCCTCCCCAACTACTACTAGCTCTGTCGTACCCGCGGCTGCAGTCACCAACACCTACTATCACCAAAATGAATCCCGTCTCCAGATCAACCAAGTGCGTGACTACATGTTCTCATCGTCGGAGGATGAAGAGGAAGAATCAGAGGTGCTCATGATGAGTTACAGTACCGATGAAGAAGAACTCGCTCCTCAACAACATTACCACCATGTCTTGAACGCTTCCAATAGTACACCTCAAAGTCCTGCTGATACCATTTCCTCTGCTATTAGTTTCGATTCCGATGAAGAAGAAGAAAAGATTGCAGAAATTAAGCACTTTTCTTATTCGTCAGTCCAATCCCAATCCACAAGACCTGTTTCGTACCTTAGTACCACAAGTTCCATGGCGTCTGGCACAGAAGAGATGGAGCATGGACAACGTTCTAATGTGAGAAATAGTAGTCGTAGTTCCAAGGAATTGAAGACAGCTAGCTGGCCTATGCCACCTCCTACACCACCTCCATCAGAACCTTTGCCTCCTGTTCCTATGCCTGTATCTGCCGAAATACCTCCTCCTCGCCGTGCAAGATCCAAGACAATGGCGCGTGATGAAGCACCCAACATGTCCATGTATACTACCTCTGTCCATCAAGATAACCAATTACCTCGTATCATGCCTATCGAAAGAGAAGCACCCATTGCTCCACCTCGTCCCAAGAATCTGGGCACATTGGATACCAAGCAACATACCAAATGGATGGATGATCCCGAAAGTGAAGAAGATGAGTTATGGTGTGAAGCAAATGCAACTCCTAAACAAACAACTGCTGAATGGTAAAATCTTTTTTTTATTTTTCTTTTTCTTTATATATTCTCTGTATTTCATTCAAGTCTTTTTTTTACCCCATTCATGTATCCTTAGAACAATTTATCCCCCTCACAAACACACACCCTTTAACCTTTTTTTACACAAATGTATTTTTCTCTCTCTCTCTCTCTAAACTATTATATAAAAAAATAAAAAAATTGGTATATTTTTTTCTTTAAGAAATTAATTGGAGTTCTTCTTTACGACGTTGTTGTTCACATTGACAAACTTGATCTTGATCACAGGTGATACAGCATACGGGGTTGGGAATAATACAATGATCACACATCAAGATCAAGAGATGACAAGCGGGTGTACTACATTTTGTATATTGATCCCAAGGAGCAGCACAGACTTGACATTGACTAATGACCTCCGTCTTTTCCAAGCCCAATGATTGTCTAGCATCAAACACATAATTTTTGCCTTCCCACACAGGATTTTCTACATTGGCCGTTTTACACCATTCCATATAATTATGTATCCCACCATCCAACATGAAAATCTCGGTATCCGGTAAAGCCTGACGCATAAAAGCCGTAGCCTTTTCACATCGGATTCCTCCCGTACAATACGTCAACACCTTTTTCTTTTCACGAATCGTATCTTCATTACGTTGAATATAATCTGGAAATTGACTGAATTTTCGAATGGCCGGTGTCACTGCACCTCGAAATTTTCCAATCTTGCTCTCATAATAATTCCGTGTGTCCAATAACAAAAAGTCGTTTTTCTCTTGTGTCAACATGGCATGAAAATCTGGTGGTGCTAATTTACCTTCTCGATGGTTTGGTAACGAGAGTTTTTGCAGGACTACCGAGGTTTGTCCTAACGGACAGATTTCATCCGCAAATTTGATGGAGAGTTCGCCAAAGACATGCTTACACCCCGCTGAAGGCTTAAAAAATTGATAACGTGCTGTGGTAGGGTCGGATAATGAAGACGGAGGTAAGGTGAGGTCCCTGAAGGGCTGTGTCGTGGTTAACCAGTCCAGGTAGAGATCAATCTCTTCATTTGTACCGGCTAGAGTCGCATTAATACCTTCGGATGCAATACGGACTTTACCCGTCATATTTTTACAATACAATTGATGGTCTATGGAAAATTGCACTGGATCAAGGATATCTGTATAGCGATAAAATAAAATCACCTTGTGCGTATCTATTGGACATTGACAATCCACAGAAATTGGATCCGAAGAGCCCTAGATGTCTGTCAATATATGTGTGTGTGTGTGTGTGTGTGTGTTTAGATGTAGATGTATTTACTTTTTCGCCTCGTCTTTGCCTAAGTTTGGATAGGTTGTGTCGGTACAGTTCCATAGCTCGCAGCGTCTCTAGTTGAAGGGTTTCGGCATTGTCCAGGTCAGTGACATGATCTCGGTGGACATGACGTCCTATATCGCTGAGTGAGGAGAAATCAGTATTGCAACACTCCCAGTGAGACTCTGACTGCTGTCTTTCTTTTAAGAAATCTTGAATGATTTTTCGTCGTAATTTGCTAATAGCCATTGTTTGTAAAGAGAACGTAATTTTATTTTATTTTATTTTTTAAAAAAAAAAAAACGAGGGCACCTTGAGGTTTTTCATTTCCCACCCTGAAATCCCGGTCACTCACAGGATCAACTTGACAAGAATGAATGAAAATAAAAACGCACAGACATTTGTAAACTTAAGACGTATTCCACAATGTACAAGTCAGCTTATGAAGGGGGAGGTTCCTTTTGCATAAAAAAAAAAGACCAGAAAAAAAAAAATGGATTTTTCACATTTTTAAAAGATTTCCTTATAAGGGAGCGGTCATTGAAACGTGTAGGGGGATAGTGGACAGGGCAAAAGAGTAAAGGGCTTTTGAAGTCAAAACGAGCGCCAAAGTCTATAATTCCTTCTTTCCCCGCATCGGTAAGTCTGAACGGAAATACCTTGCAAAATCTATTTATTTTTTTCAATCCATCCATCCCATCATCGACCGCACACATTCTCATCCTCCCTCAATGAAGGACCCCATCCATCATCCCAGAAGATTTCAAAAAAAAAAGATTAAATATACATCCATCCATCAACATATCAGTAAACTTATCGCATAGACATATACACGAACAATAGATGGATATCAGCAGAGAGAAAAAAAAAACCAAAAAAATTGAAAGGAGGGGGAAGGGAATACGAGATGGATAAAAAAAAAAATTACGTGTTAATTGAATGATGGATGCAATTGGAAATTGGGAATATATTTTGCAAATTAGAAGGGAAGACTAATCGCCATTTTTTTTTTATCATTTAAAGAACCCAACATGCTTATTTCCAAGGAGAACAGAAAGGCCATCTACTCGGCTCTTTTCAAGGGTAAAAATAATTATATATAGTTGGTGTCCATGTTGAAAATTGACTAAAAAGATTCCCAAAATTAGATGGTGCCCTTGTCGCCCCCAAGGACTACAACCTCCCCAAGCATAGCGAAGTCGATGTTCCTAACCTCGAAGTCATCAAGGCCATGCAATCCTTGACCTCCAGAGGTTTCGTCAAGACCCAATTCTCTTGGCAATGGTATTACTATACTCTCACTGATGAGGGTATTGATTACCTCCGTGAGTTCCTCCACTTGCCTCAAGAAATCGTTCCTGCTACCATGAAGAAGTCTGCCCGTCCCGCTGCTCCTCGTCGTGCCTGTAAGTTTTTTTTTTTTTTTATATGTGTATATACATTATGAAGTGATCTCTTTTTTCTAACTGTATTCCTATTAGTCGGTGGTGAAGGTCGTGAGAACCGTGGTCCTCGTGCCGATCGTGGTGACTACCGTCGCAAGGAAGGTGCTGAAGGTGACTTCAAGCCTGAATTCCGTGGTGGTTTGGGTACGTTTTCCCTTTATTATTGTTAAAGTTGTTCATCCATACTAACGTTTCTTTTTATTAGGTCGTGGTAACCGCGAGTAAATTTTTTTGTTTGTTTCTTCCTTTGTTATAAAAAAAACTTGTTGCAACAAAAAATTCCTATTTTCTTTTTGATTTATTTACCTGTGTCAATGTGTGTTGTTTAGAGTGTAGTTGGGGAGAGGGGGGTTATACGTGTGCTATTAGCGGTGTGTGTGGGGGTATGGGTTTACAAGTGAAAGGAACAGGACTTTGATTAAATTTATGCTGTTTTGGCTACATAAAATTCTTATTAAATCCATGCTTGTTTGGCTACATGAAATGCATGACGTATTTTGGCCAATGTTTTATTAAATCCATGCTTGTTTGGCTACATAAAATGTTTGATTTGTTTTGGTCAATGTTCACGTCCGATTGCTCTATTTTTAAGAGAGACTATTGATACAAGTTGTCTTAATCGACGTAAAAATGTTTGATTTGTTTTGGTCAATGTTCGATTAAATCCATGCTGTGTTGGCTACATAAAATGCATGATGTATTTTGGTCAATGTTCACGTCCGATCAATCTATTCTTAAAAAAGACTCTTGATACAAGTTGTATAAATCGACATAAGAATGATAGATTAAATCCATGCTTGGTTGGCTACATAAAATGTTTGATTTGTTTTGGTCAATGTTATTTAATCCATGCTTGGTTGGCTATATAGAATTGCTTGATATGTTGGTCAATGTTTTATTAAATCCATGCTTGTTTGGCTACATAAAATGCATGACGTATTTTGGTCAATGTTCACATCTGATTAATCTATTTTTACGAGAGACTCTTGATACAAGTTTGTTTTGCATGGAGAACAAAATTTAAAATAAACCAAAAGTGATACTGTTAGAATTTGGATACCACTTTATTATGAACGAAAAAAATAAATTAATTAAAAAATGTCTTGATGGGTCTATGAAAAAAAATTAGGGATATCTTTATAAAGAACTGGGTTAGTTCTAGAGGGAATATTGAGCGCCTTATTGGATCATGATGTAATAACCTGGTGATAATAAATAATCAACATCTTTAAATTTAGCCCTTCCATACTGAGTATATAAATATTAGTCAGAGGGATCAACAGTTATAACATCAAATGACAAGAGTAATATTTGTGCTCAGAATCTATTAATATTCTATAGTCCAGGCCTATTCGATTGTATTGCTTTTTGCAGAATAAACATTTATGCGCCATAGGCTTGTTCTGTGTGTACAGACTTCAACGGTAGGATGAGAACAAGCGGGGTAATGTGTGATTCATGATTAACTTTTATATTTATTATCCATCCTTAATGTGATGTGACAATTAACTTTATTATTATATCTATGATATCTTCAACAAAGTTGTCTAAATTGCCATGATGTTTTAAAATGATATAAATGCTATTGTAATTTATTTTAGAGAGAGAGAACACTTGAAAATTATTATGTACAAATTTTTTTTTTTTTTTATTTATTTACAAAAAGGAAGGGAAGGGGTTTAAAGGAAAGGAAAGGGAGGCGAAAAAAGGAAAGGAAAGGAAGGCGAGAAAAGGAATGGAAGGGGCGGAAGAAGAAAGAGTCATAAAGAAAGGAAAGTAAAAGGAATGGAATGGGAAGAACTGTAGACAAGGTTTACTTGGACAAGCTTCTAACTTGCTCAGGAGTTGCCTCGCTGTGCAAGTAGAAGCAATTGTCCCCTTGTCTACAGTTCTTGGTAAGGTGGAAGTACCTACAAGCGGTAATGGTAGCTTCCACCTTCTTTCTTTCTTCTTCCGTGGCATCAGAGTGCAAGAAAAGGCACTCGTCGCCAGTATTGCAGAAGCCCTTGAACAAGTAGAATCGGCAATGACCGGTCAGAAGTCGAAGACGTTCCAACCGGTCCTTGTTCAAGGGCTCATGCGAGTAGGGACAGTACTCGCCCTGCGTACAGTCCCTTTGCATATGGAAAAACCGACAAGGCTCCAACTTCAAATCGTGTGAGAACTTGCAGTCCTCCCCCTGGGTGCACGACCCCGTCTTGTAGAACTGGCAGACGATACGCGCAGTTGGGGCTGGGGGAGGCTTGCCATCGTGCTTGAAGGTACAGTTAGAGCCTTGTCGGCATGTTCCTTGCATATAGTACTTGCATACAACAGTCGGCACAAATTTCTTTTGCTGGAAAGGCCGTTGAGGCTCTACATGTACAAAAAAAAAAAAAAAGGGTTAATTAAAGAAAAACTAATGACAAGAAAAAAAAAAAAAAAAAAAAAAAAAACTTACCAATTCCTTTTTGTTGTGGGCGGTTGAATGCCTTTGGTGCCTTGACGGGATTGCTTTGAGGAGCTACATTATAAAACACATTTTAGAAACACACGACACAAAAACAATTTTTTTTTTTTTTATTAGAATTTACCAAAACCGGACTGTTGATGCTTTTGTTGTGCTGGTTGTGCTGGTTTTCTTTGGTGCTGTTGCTGGTGGGCTGAGGGTTGCACCACTGAGGTGGAAGCAGCTTCATGTTGTCTCAACAAGGCATCAAAGTCGAGCTCATCAGACTTTTTGGGCAGGTCGTTATGTCTACGAGCAGCCAACTCCATAGCTCTCTTTTTCTTTAATTCAGCCTTCTTTTGTCGTGCTGCCTTCTTTCTACCCACTTTGCTCTTCCCTTGCGGTTGTGCTGGTGAGGCTACCGATGGTGATGTTGATGGCTTGCCTTCCTCCGAAGCAACTGAATCTTTATTCAACGAGGCCAAGGTATCCAATACTTCATCCATGGGTGGTAAAGCGTCAAGCGATGGTACAGGTAATTCACCCAAGGACCTTCTTGCCATTGTTTCCTCATGAAGAGATTCTGCTACATATGGATTTGTGATATTAAGAGGTGGATTGTTGTGTCCAAAGATCATATCATAGTCAAATTGAATAGGATTTGAATAAATCATGTCATGACCTAGGTGAGGGTTGACTGATTGAGTGCTGGACGTAGCCAATTTACCTTGATCATTGACGAGATTTCTAGAGGAACCAGATGAGGAAGGAGTCTTATCAAGCTCCAAAGCGGTTGGCATTTGTTGCTTTTGCTCCAACTTGACTGTCACAGAAGGTTGTGAAGTTGTTGATGAGGAAACACACTTGCTTTGATCCAATCCAAAAGGTGAGGAGGTACCGATTGGTTGTGTTGATGAGAGAGTCTTATCGAGCTTTAAGGCGGGTGATACCTGTTGCTGTTGCTCTAAAGCTGCGTGAGCTGTTGTTGGTAAAGCCAAGTTGTCTTGATGCAATCCACGTGGCGAAGAGGGACCAGAGGATGAAGGAGACTTATCAAGCTTCATGGTGGGTGATACATGTCGCTGTTGCTCCAAAGCTGCGCGAGCTGCTGTAGGTGAAGCCAAGTTGTCTTGATGCAATCCACGTGGCGAAGAGGGACCAGAGGATGAGGGAGACTTATCAAGCTTCATGGTGGGTGGTACATGTTGCTGTTGCTCCAGGGCACGAGACACTGAAGGTCTTGGACCTGATTGACTTGTCGAAGAGGAAACCGAGCTACCTTGATGCAATCCATGTGGTGAAGAGGGACCAGAGGATGAAGGAGACTTATCGAGCTTCATGGCGGGTGGCACATGTCGCTGTTGCTCTAAAGCTGCGCGAGCTGCTGTTGGTGAAGCCAAGTTGTCTTGATGCAATCCACGTGGCGAAGAGGGACCAGAGGATGAGGGAGACTTATCAAGCTTCATGGTGGGTGGTACATGTCGCTGTTGCTCCAGGGCACGAGACACTGAAGGTCTTGAACCTGATTGACTTGTCGAAGAGGAAACCGAGCTACCTTGATGCAATCCGTGTGGCGAAGAGGGACCAGAGGATGAAGGAGACTTATCAAGCTTCATGGTGGGTGATACATGTCGCTGTTGCTCCAAAGCTGCGCGAGCTGCTGTTGGTGAAGCCAAGTTGTCTTGATGCAATCCACGTGGCGAAGAGGGACCAGAGGATACAGGAGACTTATCAAGCTTCATGGTGGGTGGTACATGTCGCTGTTGCTCCAGGGCACGAGACACTGAAGGTCTTGGACCTGATTGGCTTGTCAAAGAGGAAACCGAGCTACTTTGATGCAATCCATGTGGCGAAGAGGGACCAGAGGATGAAGGAGACTTATCAAGCTTCGTGGCGGGTGGCACATGTCGCTGATGTTCCAAAGCAAGTGAGTCATTCATGCTTGGTGGTGGAGATTGGTTAGGTGTAGGCAAAGAACCTTTTTTAGCAGAAGGTGTTTGAAGTTTCAATCTAGGATCAACTAAAGGGACCTTTGGAACAGTAGGAATCATTACAGGGGAATCTCGGAGAGAGGTATCATCCTGAGGTGGGTTATATTTAATAGGAATTTGCTGCGAAGCGACTATGAAAAAAAAATCGTTAGTATCTTTGTTTTATTTTAACTGATGGGTTGATAGACATACCTAATGGTAAAACTTCGAATGGTACAAGACCCAAAGGCGGTTGGGTTCCGATTTGCTTAGCAACATTAGGTTGAGAAGTAATAGAGTGAGGTTGTGGGAGAGGTGCATGTAGATCAGTAGGGCGTTGAGTTTGTTTGGGCATCTGACCCAAACTGGTTATGTAATCTACAGCCAAGTCAAGTGACACGGGAGCAACTTGTTTTTTTGCCAGCATAACAACACGAGGATTTTTGGGTGACAAACTAGATCTTACCCTCAGAGAGGAAGGCTTTAATTTTTTAGTGGTGGTCTGTTCTGATTCAGGACTCGAGTCTTCCTTACGCTTCACCGCTGGGTTTGCACCAACAGTTTGTGATTTCACTGGCTGTACGTTGACTGGTGTTGAGTGAACAGGTGCTACTGCTGTAACAGGTGCTGCTGTTTTAGAAGGTGCTGCTGTTTTAGAAGGTGCTGCTGTTTTAGAAGGTGCTGCTGCTTTAGAAGGTGCTGCTGCTTTAGAAGGTGCTGCTGCTTTAGAAGGCGCTGCTGCTGTAAAAGGCGCTGTTGGTATAATAGGTGTTGCTATAGCAGGTGTTGTCGAGACAGCGGGTTGGGCACTGCTGCGCGGGTTGGGCACCTTTTTTACAGTTTGAACCACGTTCTGAAACTTGACTTTCTTTGTCACTGGTGGTTTTTCTGGGGTTGTGTGTTCTTCCTTACGCTTCATTGCGGTGGGAGCTGGATTGGTCAAAGACGATCGACGTACATTACCTTTACTCGAAGAGGTGGCTGTGGGTTTATTTGATCCGACTGACGATGTTGAAGATTCAACATTACTGCGCACTGATGTATTACTGGCACCGACTGCATTCTTAGCCTGAGACTCCTTTTCTGCTAGGATCTCTTCTATCTTCGGTGGTGGCGTTCCAAATAACTTTCGAATATTCGATTTTGACATGCTGGTATAAAGTGAACGTGCTTTGGAAAAGAAAAAAAATTAAAATCAAAAAAAATTGAAGAAAAAGTAAGTGTTGACATAAACAACAGTCACGCAAAATGAGATTTAAAGATGCATGATTTTAAGATTATAGATGAAAATATTTACGTTTCGAATTGTTGACTTTAAGCGATAAAAATCTAGTCTCTTTCATAAAGAAAAAAAAAAGATAACAGATGAATATTTTCAACATAAAAAAAAAAGGGTAGATAAAATGAGATGTTTTAGCTAGATTAATTTTGCTATCTTCAAAAAGGTTTCTCTACATTTTGTGTAGTGATTGCCACTAGAACCAGGAAGAGATTCTAGAATCCACTTCCAATTAACAGAATAAACTTTCCCATAAATAATAGCATTACATAAAATTCATTAAATTCGTAAACAAGTAATAAGATTAATAATCGTAGCCGCAGGCATGGCGGATTCTCCTTCATTTTTTTTTTTTTTTTTTTTTGGAATAGATCTTAGTTTTGACTCGCTGTTTTTTTCTTTTTATTATTTTATTCCATTTCCCAAAGCCCTATTTACAACACATTGAATAAAGCGGCTAAATTGGGCGTTGTAGTGTCTGTGTAATTTGTAGGAATTGAGAAAATAAATTTTGTGACACAAATAATAAATTAGTTGACAGTGTTACTACCCCCACATTTGAAACATTTGATTGCCTCTCTGGGATATATTATTAGCTTGTGCATTTAAGCACTGTAATATTTTATTCTAACTAAAAGAGAAAAATGGGAATATACCTTATAGTAGGCGACACTTTTTACACAATCTAATTTCTTATTGATCCTTTGAATGAAGGAATACTTTTTTCGGGTTTCTTAGAGACAGCCAAATTTTCTTAGGGACAGTCTGGGTGTGCGTAGTCATAATGTTGGGTTTATGATATTTTAATAGACACCAAGAGATCAATATAACTTACGGTCTTAAACTAGATACATCTTATTACAACCAGTATGCGTGTGTTATAGCTTAATTTCAGCTTCCCATTTGGCCTTTAATTTAATAGCTGCGTAAGATTAAGATCAAACGAGCTTAAACGCGAAAGAGTGATGATAAAATTGTCAAACAAGTATAACTCATTTAATATATATTTATTCGTAATTATCACATTGTCGTTGATTATATATTTTTGTTTCCAGGCCTAAAGGACAGCCAAATCACAGATCTTACGGTGTGACTATGTGCACTTTGGCTGTCCCTAAGGAAAAATTGGCTGTCCCTAAGAAAAGTCTATTTTTTTTTTTATTAATTCAAAAAAAAAAAAAAAAATTACTATCTACTTTTTAAGTGAGGTTTTTTCTTTTAATGCTTTCTGATATGTCGGCTGGTAGATACGAGTGATGTGCATTATCATTCTTTCATAAAACGACTGTGGGTTTAATCAGTTTAGTTTCTTCAGAAGATGACAATTCAACGTTACTGCTATTTTTTTCCAGCTAGAACACCTTCGAATTTTGGTGGTGGTGCTCGACATGACTTTCTAAGCTTGAGTTTTGGCATAGTAGGTACAAGTTAAAGAGTCATAAGAGAGAAAGAGAGAATAAAGAGTAGAGGGGGGATTACAAAATAGCTATTGAAATCATTAAGAGTTTTGAAGTGGGTATTTAATCAACAAAGGAATCATCACACGTAAAGGCAAAAATATTCAATTGTATTGTCGTTAAAATAAGAAAATACAAACCAAATTGAGAAAAGCATTTGTTTTGAAAGATAGAAATACAGGTCTCTTATGTATTATGCTTTCATACCAATGATGTCGTATAAGCACATCAATGCATTGATGTAGGAGATTTAATTGAAGTGACACAAATATAAAATATTATAAACCCCACATTTAGAATCCTTAATTTCCTCTCTTGGAAGTTTTCGAATCTATGGACCAAAAGTGATGATAGATTCTGTAAACGGGATCCAAAATAATAAGATTATATGTCCTATGCTCCCGTTAATCTTCTTGAAAGAAGAATCCTTTTTATTGTTGTTGTTGATATACTTTATTGATATACTTTATTACTATACAAATGCCTTTGAAGAGGACAGCCTATGGCTTAATAACAACCTTTAATCCAGCACCGGTCAAAAACACCTTCCATGCATCATCAAACTCGCTTAATTTGAAAGAGTGACTGACTAAGGCACTCCAATCAACCTTGTTTGCTGCCAATACTTTAACAGCACGTTCAATACCATAAGGGTTTGTGTATGTAGAGGTGATTGTTAATTCCTTTCTATAGATATCAAAAGGAGAGATAGAAACACGGTCCTCGACCTTGGCAACACCAACCCAAACGACAGTACCACCAGCCTTTGCAAAGTTGACAGCATCTTCAGCAGTGTTAGGACGACCGACACACTCAAACACTACATCATATCCTTCACCAAGAGTACCATCTACAGGGGCAAGTGTACCTGGGGCGTATACTTCAGAAGCACCAAATACGTCAAGTGCCTTTTGACGTCTCATCTCACTTGGTTCGATGACGGTGACTCTTCCGCCACTGGTAGATGCAAGGGCAATTGCCATTAAACCGATAGGACCAGCGCCAATGACAAGCACTGAATCTCCAGTCTTAATCTTACCTTGATCAACAGCATGGACTACACAAGAGAGAGGTTCAGCCAAAGAGGCAACTTCAGGTGTCACGTTAGAGGGAACAGCAATAACAGCACGAGCAGGGACAGACACGTACTGAGACATACCACCATCTACAGTAACGCCAATACAGAACAAGTTGGGACACAAGTGATATTTCTGGTTACGACAAAAGGTACATTGATTGCATGGCATATTGGGATCAATCGCTACCAAGTCACCAACCTTAACAAGTGCTTTCGTGTCAGGGTGGATTTGCTCAACATAACCCGAGAATTCGTGACCAATAACAACTTTCTTGGAAGCATGAGGAGTCTCACCACGACTAATATGTAAGTCAGTACCTGAAAAAAAAATTAACACATAAAAAAAAAAAAAAAAGTTACGAAAATATTCCACTTACCACAAATACCAGAGGCAGCAACTCTTACTAAAACCTCTCCAGGCTTTACAACAGGAACAGCCTTATTCATTAAGTCGATAGCGCCAACATTTTGCCAGCTGGCAACGGTCATTTCTTTAGTAGAGGTACACATAATTGATATTTTGATGATAAAACGAAAGAAAGAAGAAAAAAGAAACAAAAAGTTTAAATACGTTTCAGAAGGAAGTAGCGCCCTCTATTTTTTTTTTTTTTTTTTAGCATAACTCAAAATGTCCGATTGGGCGGGCATTCTTTTTTTTTTTTTTTTTTTATTCCCAGATTTTCTTATTTCTGAAGCCAGCCCAGCCAGACCTTTCTTAGCATTGTGGGAGATTCTGGAATTATTTTTCTGATAACAGATCCCTGGGAATTATTAGCATCTGAATTAATCTGAGACATAGGGTATATATCATACATCTGTTTGGGCATATCTAAGAATATTGGACGAGGCAGATAATTTATTCTTAATTTTCCTCGTCCATTTATAAGCTCTATATATAACCCACGTAAACCCACAACAACAAATAAACCATTAGAACTTTAAAAAAAACACAATGAGATCTATAGCCGATATTCATGGCGCGAATAGAGGATCTCCTCCTAACTTCGTTGCTGATGCTAAAGCTGCACTTGGTGAATTCTTTGGTATGGGGGTTTTTATTTTCTTGGCTTTGTCTGGTGTTCAGGCCGCTCTTGAGGCACCTACAGGTTTACCTGCTTCCAGAGGACCTACCGTAAGTCAAATCCAGAGTGTCGGTTTTAGTTTTGGTGCAGGCATCACAGTAGGACTATTTTTGTGTGGTCCTATATCCGGAGGTGTTTTGAACCCTGCAGTTTTATTAAGTTTAGTGCTCTCTGGTAATATCAATTGGCTCCGCGGTATATTATATTTTTTTGCTGAGATGGGAGGCGCCATCATTGGTGCTTACTTTGCAAACTTCGTCACCGCGCATGAATTACAAGGTGTTAATTTGTTAAACCCTGGGTTCAATTATGCTCAAGGTTTCTTCGCAGAGGCATTACTGACGTGTACGCTATGCTTGACTGTACTATTTATTATTGTTGACAAGACCCCGTTAGCAGAATTTGCTCCGTTCGTGGTCGGCCTTTCCGTTTTTATGTGTCATATTGTGGGTACACCAATCGATGGTACATCCATTAATCCCGCGCGTTCTTTCGCTGCATCTATTGTGTCCGGCAAATGGGCAAACCATTGGATTTTCTGGTTTGGTCCTTTAATCGGTGGCATCTTTGCCTATTTTATTTATATGACGTGTAAGATTCTAACATCTGAGCCTCAAGGTGAAGAATTAGCCAAGCAAGCCGAACAGCAAGAACGTGAAGAGAAGGATGATAAGGAGCGCCAAGACAGATACAATAGAAATGCCCATTCAACTCAAGTACCTGATCCTCATGCTTACAATTCAAATATCAATCATGATCGTACTTACAACACAAATTCAGTTCCTCAAAATACGACCTATGTACAAAGTGGTCATCCCGATCCTCAGAACCCTGGTTACAGTACAAATTACGCTCAAAATACAAATGGTCCTGCCAACATCAATCCAAAGACTGATAAAAATCCTACCGGTAGTGGCTCTAATCATGTAAATGGTGTCCCCGTTAGCATTGCTAACCCCAAGACGAATGTTTGATTTCAAATATCCCCATTTAATAACTTTGAAAAATTGCATATTTTTGATAAACAATAATAATAAAAAAAAATTCATTTTTATTTCATTTTTTATTATACGTTCTTTCCGTTGCTGACAAAGAACGAGATGATATATCAGGGAGAGAAGGGCCTAAGTCCGTGTGACGCGGAATTGCATTGGATTTTTCTTTCTCGGGAGATATACTAGAAAAAATTCATGGTAGCACATAGATGTGGGGAAGTCTCGTATATTCCACTTGTAGGCGAATCGGGAAATTGATTAGGGACTACATAAGACGAATTCATGTGCGCAAGGTCTCATATCTATCATTTCTAAATACAACCCTAATCCCGTTACTAATTTAAGGTTTGTTTTTGGTCATGTTATAGGGGTAGTTATAATGGTAGTATTGATCTAATAGTTCAACTAGAAGGAACTTGATGATCCCAAATACTGCGTATATCAAAAAGGTTTAATGCATTAATACAGTTTCAAGTCAATGTATTCATAGTGAAAAATAGTGAAATTCGTGGGAACTTGACTGGTGGCATCAGTAACCCAAACAAGATGAAATACGGCTTAAATTTAACCACGGAATAATTATTATAAGGTTACACTCCCTTTAGCCAGCGAAGGTATAGGCATATTTTAATTTTGTACGACCTCTAATGACATTTCATCTTTAGTCCGGGGAAGGAAACTTTCTTTACCCGCTTAATACAATAGACTTGCCTTGTCATTAATCTGGGGAAATAAACCTTAAATGTGAACATATACATGGAATATACCTCTTCTATTTTTAAGATATCAACTATATTACAAACATATTGTATAAAGCAAAGTAGTGTTATGCCAACAATGGTATGAAGCAATATAAGAGTCTCACAAAAAAAAAAAAAAAAAAAAAAAAAAGGGCTATATCTTTGTACGGTATAAACATGTTGATGATGTGTTACCGCCTCATCTCTGTGGGAAAGTGGTATACAACTGGAAAGAAAATATTTTCTGCAATTCGTTTAGCTCCTAAAACAAATGTGACCAATAACGTCATTATAGAGTGTCGAATCACAAAAAAAAAAAAGTATATAACAAGGATATTATTTTTCAAATTTGTTTCCATCAAAAAACGTCAACCACTTTTTCTTTATATATATAATCCAACCAAAATAAAATAAATGGGAAAGTTATTAAAAGGAAGTGCACTACTTTATTCAGTAGCAATATTTGCATCGCTGGGGCAGTTCTTGTTCGGTTGTAAGTCAATCTTATCACAAGCGATGAATAGCAGTGTAGCTCATTCTTTATTTTAGATGATCAGGGTGTTATGTCTGGAATTTTAGTCAATAACCGCTGGCTCGAGTTATTTGGACATCCCAATGCCACTATGCAAGGTCTTGTCGTCGCAATTTTTGAATTGGGTGCTTGGGTCACAACCTATCCTACGAGTTGGTTTATGGATACTATCGGTCGCCGCTGGACAATCATGGTGGGCACTTTGATTTTTATTGTCGGAGGTGTTCTTCAAACTGCTTCATCCACATTTGTACAAATCATGATGGGTCGTGTCATTGCTGGTTTTGGAATTGGTTTCTTAAGTACAGTTTTACCTGTATACACCGCTGAGTTGAGTCGTGCGCATAACGTAAAGTGACCCCTCACACATAAATTTTATCAGTTTGTAACCTGGCTAATCAAATTTTCCTTCTTTATAAAACAGCGAGGAAGAGTTACTGTTTTAGGCATGAGTGTGAACATGTTGGGCTACACTGCTTCCGGTAAAAGATAATAATATAGCATAAACTTAAAATCAATGATTTTAACTTCTTTTTTTTTTTTTTTTTGCATATCAGCTTTCATTGACTATGGATTTTCTTTTGTTGAATCAGACTGGTCATTCCGTGGACCTCTCTTATTACAAGTTGTGTTTGCTCTCATCTTGGCTATCGGAACATTAGCACTTCCCGAGTCCCCTCGTTACTTGGTGTCCAAAAATAAGGACAAACTTGCACTCAAGACACTTGCAGATATGCATGGCTTAGACGAGGATCATCCCGACGTTAGCAAAGAATATGAAGAAATCAAGAATGCATTAGACATTGAAGCAAAACTCGGACAGCCCACTTGGAAGGAAATGTTTACTATCTATCGCAAGAGATCTTTAATCGGTATTGCTGTGCAAGCCTTAGGTCAATTAGCTGGTATTAACATTGTCACTGTAAGTTTTCAAATCATACAAATGTTAATTAATGATCTTGATACTAACTATTGTTTAGTACTATGCCCCCAAAATGTACGAAGCTATTCTTGGACCAGGAAACGAGACGATTCTTTTTGCAGGATACACCGCACTTGTTTATTTTGGAGGCGCAATCATTGCCTCTTTCCTCGTTGATCGAGTTGGAAGACGTCCCTTGTTTATGTATGGTAGTTTCTTCATGACTATATGGCTTGTTCTTATGGCTGTATTTAACAAAGTCGATCTTGGATACACATCTACTGTTCTTGTTATTGCCTTCACAATGATTTATGTCGGTACATTCGGTATGACTTGGGCTTGCGTCGATTGGTTATGTAAGTATTTACAACTTGATGGGTTTGAATCTCTCTAATCTTTTATTATATACAGACCCTGCGGAAATTTTTCCCTTCCGTACAAGAGCAAAAGGAATGTCTCTTGCTGTTTCTTCCAACTGGGTAGGTTTAATTTTTTATTTTTTATTTTTGTAACGCAACAATTATACTCATCTACAAACTTCAGTTGTGTAACTTTGCAGTCGGTTTGTTCACACCACCTTTACTTGAATCAATTGGCTGGGCCACCTATATTTTCTATGCCGCATGGAATGTAGTCGCATTTTTTGTTGTTTGGAAGTGGTTTGTTGAAACAAAAGGTAAAACACTTGAAGAGATTGATGCCATATTTGCAGATGGCGCAGCTACTTTGGCTATCGAAAAGAGTTTTGAATATCACGATAAGCAAAACAATACCGAAAAAAATTTATCCAGCTCTTCCGAAAGTTCTAATGCTACGGAAAAAGATAAAGACATCAAACAAGTAGAGCTTGCCTAATCACATGTACATACATATCATATATATTATTAATTTAAAAATAAATAAAAAACAAACTTTTTTTCTATCTATAGAATAAACATCATTTTAGACAAGGAGGTTGACTGATAACTAATACGTCTAGTTGCTGACAGCCACATTAAATTTTGTGTAATATCAAAATAATTGTACTTTTAAATAATTCATTTCCTTAATGACATTGCCGATACGGCGGTTGTTGCTTGTACTTGCTATATCCTAAATAGATTTCAACAGTCGGTCGCATCATTTTTGGCTCGGGTAACAAATTTAGACAGTTGTGAAGTAATTCAGGTCTTCAAGCACGTGTTACAACGCTACAGTAGTTGATTTATTTAGATGAGGATTGTTCTTGTACAAAATTGGAAATCAATAGAAACCAAATTATAAGTCACACCTAAAAATTTTTTCAACGATATCAGTAAGAGGTTTCCCCTCTTCTTTTTTCTGCTCTTACTTTCATATAAATCTGTATCAAGATTAGTCTAGGAAGATTTATCAGGGGGAGGGACAGCATTTCAAGGTCCAAGAACGGTTTAATCCAAGGATTTGAAAGTAACGTATAGACAGAATAGTGCCCACGAATGATTTCAACATAAGGCTTAATTTTTAAACGGAATTTTAGCTACAGGCAGAGGCAGTGTTGCCTTAATAATAGGCAATAGCTTACAGGGAGGGGGGAAAAAGTCAATTATCGGACGTTCCCAACCTGTTAAGGACAAGTACACATTAGCTCAGGGCGGGGCTTACTATTATACCCTTCGATTATGGGCTGGCCCTGCCCTTTTCAAACACACCTTCAAAGTCAATAAAAACTACATATAAAAACAATGAGAGAAGAACCCATGAACTTCGACTGTTTATTTTATTTTTTAACTAGCCAATGAAAAGGCCAGTGATTCGACTATATCAAAGATAGAAAAAAAAAAAAAGATCAGTTAATTTATCAGACAGTTAAACATATGAAACTTACACCAAGGTAAATTAGCCTTCTTTGCAAATATCTTCAAGCTCACGGAAATAAATTCATTTGATCGTTTGAAATTCTTCTCAATATCACCCATTTGTGTTTTAAATCCTTCGGAATCATTGCAAGCATCATCACTCGACAGTCGCATATATTTTTTAAATAAAACCGCCATTTGCTCAGTCATATCAAATATGCCAATGACAGCTTTCCTGATAGCACTCATCTGAACCAGAGGAAGTTTAGTTTAACATCGATGAATTAGATGAGCATCTTACCTTATCATTTAACAAACACCGATCCACAATCGTATTAATATACAACGTGTGGAGTTTTGTGATTTCATCAGCATCTTTGGATACCGACAGCTTTTTTCTAAATTCGATTGTCTCTGCATGGAGAATCTATTTTTTTTTTTTTTTTTAAAAAAAAAAAAAAGATTAAGTATCTAGTTGAAACCACTTTAAAAAGTTCTACTACTAACTGTCGTCATTATATAGCGCCAAAATGAATTAATGAACCAGAGTATTTTCATACGGACTGAATAAAATTGCATAGCATTTTGATCATTATTTTGATAGTCGGTCCGGCCTCCAAACAAAGTCTTCTTTTCCATAATGTATTTAGCACGTTTAAGCCGTAACAGTAAGCTTGAAATTTTAGAGTAGTTTTCCAGGTGTTCTCTTTGAATAAAATTATTCAAGGGCCATGGGATCTACAGAAAAAGAAAAAAAAAAATCAATAAAAAGTCGAGTTTCTTTTTGCAAGACAGGTAATACCTCTACTTTAAACGAGATTAATTCCAAAAAGGAGGTTATTGTGTTTGGCGGACTAACATCATCTGTTTGTTCTACTTGTATGTAAACTGTTTCATCATAGCCACTAATTTCGCATGCTTCAGAGAATGTACTGTTCAAAATCTGCTTATCAAACCAGAGCTCGTTATCATCTATCTGCTTAAAGAGCACCTCACAGAACGAATGCATCAAATCATTTTCCAGCATGAGATATATGGATGCCAATGATTTAAGCTGTTCGGATAGCCGGCAATTATTGTGAAGCACCTTGTTGAGCGTATCCGCTGTATTGATGTAAGGTTCTTGTGTGTATTTGTCTATAAACTGTATAAAGTCCTGGTCAAATAAAGAATCAAAATCATCCACAAATACAATCGGTTCATTGGGTCGAGATTGACATTTTTTCATTGGAAATAAAGCCATCGTAAGGGACCCGATATCATCAGAACTTGCTTGACGAGACGCCTTATTATAGGTTATGAAGGGCGGTTTTACAGCCAAGAAATCACTCATTGTAACAGAGAATGAAACAGGCTGATGCATCATCAACTGAACATGCCTCTATAAAAATATATTAGTCAACGAAGACCTTATGCTGTTCGTCTTAAAAGGGCATACCAATTTTTTTTCAATTTCATTCAATAAATTTACAGCCTTTCCTGTAAAGAAAATACGTGCCATGTTGGTGTGACTAAACAACGGACAGGGATAACAAACATATTCACAGACAACAGGTGCAATAGAAAATCCATCCGTCCAAAAATTAGGATCTTCTATTGATATGATTTCACTGGAGACAACGTAGAATTCGTTGGCAACATCTCCCTCTAAAGAACCATAAAATATCCAGTCGTCTATAATGCGGCCGTACGGCACTAGCAGTTGTTCCAAAACATACAATAAAGTATCATATACAACACGTTGTCCTGAAGATTGAGCAATAAGAGTGTGATCGTAAAAAGCGGATATCAAATAGGTCGATATTAGTCTGGGATTTGCATCGGAATACGGTGTATTCATTGTAATTTCGTGGAGTTCTTTAAAACATTGCAAATGCGAATCAAGCGTTGTACGAAGTTTTAATATGGAGATGCTTGCAGTTGAGTTACGAGTTATAAAACCACTGCCAGCTTCCAACTCTGAAAGTAATCCGTCGAAATCCATGAGCGAATTGTATATGGATGCGGCAAATGCTTGACTCGTCTGCCCATATTTCGCATCATTTGCTACACGGGTAACAATTTGTCTGAGTTCTGATAGAATGTTTCCGAATACGCAAAATTCGTTTAATATGGATCCTAATGCATTTCGGCTGAGATGTTGAAGGACGTAATTTTCATCAAGCTTTGTATGTGCGTAAATAAATGGTGGGGGAGAAATTTTATATTGAAGTGTCATTAATGTACCTGAAACTGTCCATCTTCATATTTAAATAAAACACCGCGACATCCTCTTAGCAGAGATATAACTTCTCTTATTACACCTGATTCTGGAATCGTTTTCAATCGGCTTCTTTCTGCTCGGGTATACAATAGATTACCAAGAGCATCACTCATTTGGCAGGGGTTTTGTAGCAAAGCTGCATCTGACTCATCTTCTCTTTCTAAACTATAATCATCTCTCCAATACTGCTGTGTAATTAAAAATCCTAAAGATTCAGGATCCCCTCTTTCGTCAATATCCATTTGATTATAATAAGCACTTGAGCTAACTTCAGGATCGTTCACAGTCTGCGTGTCCTGTGTCTCGTTATTTCGAAGCTATTTCCTATCAGTCAAATGGTTCATCTCATAATCAGAGTATATACCTGTCTAGCCGTTGTAGATTCCTCATCAGAGTCACGTCCATCGTTGTCACTAGAATCATCGTCAGATGTATCCTCAGGCCATTTTTTCCAATGATCCCCTTCTAAAGGGTCATCTTTCACAACTTCCTCCCATGTCAAGTTGTTTTCAGTAGGCATACTTTCGTTTAATATGGGTATATGATCGTAGGTTTGATTTCTGGATGAAGATAATGATAATAGCAGTTGAAGCAAATCGTATTTTAAAATTGATTGCTGATGAAAAAAAAAAAAAAAAAAAAAAAAAAAAAAGGAGTTAATCCGAAAGCCTCTCGCTTATATTCTGCTATATAAAAATTACATTTGTGTTTGGTGATCCTAACGGTCGTGATTTATCAAGATATGCCGACTTATGTTCGAGCAAGGCTTTTGATACGTCTCGACGCCCTTTAATACTAAACTTTTCAACCAACCTACGCAAGTCAATTAGTTTTTTTTTTTTTGTCGCTCGGTCTTTGTCGAGTTGTTACAAACCCATTTATTGCAGTGTCTACTTCATGTTCACTCGTACTCGTACATTTGTCGTAGGTTAAGGTGTACTTGGCTTTTTGAACAGTTCTATTCCATTCAGCTGTGTTAATCTAAACAGAAAAGGGAGCATGAGTCACTTCTATTAAACGCAATGTAGAAAGTAGCTCACTTTTGCACCCGTTAATTTTGTTACGAGTAAGCCAGTCAATTGGTCTTTTGTAGGTTCCGTCATTATGAGTGTGAGAGACAAAAAAAATATGCGTCAAATCAAAAATCAGACAAAAGAAAAAAATAAATCCCACTAATGGCAGTCATAGTTGGTTGTTTCCAACAATAGAAACTGGCTTTGTCTATATTTCCCCTTTTTTTACTAAAAGAAAACATCACATAATCCCGCTAAATAGACCATGATTTCAAACATTGTTAGAAGAGCCTCTCCTATCTTACTTCGTACGAATACTAGAGCAAGTACATGACTTGACACGAGATTTCACAATAAGCTCATGTTTCTTTTTTTTTTTATACGTAGTCCTTTTTCTCACAGACCAGTAACAGCATCATTGGTTCCTGGTCTGATTCACCTCACGCACAGTCCTTGATTCCTATGGTTGTCGAGAATACTGTAAATAATATTTGTCGCGTGCTACCGAAAGTTTACTCACCACGCATTCGCTTATTATTACGTAGGGCAGAGGTGAAAGGTCTTACGACATCTTTTCTCGCTTGTTAAAAGAACGTATTATTTGTTTAAATGGACCTGTAAGTACATTCATCTACTCATCCGTTTCGTCAACCTAACAATTCCTGATAGGTTAACGATAGTGTTGCTTCGGTCATTGTGGCCCAGCTCTTGTTTTTGGAATCGGAAAGCACAGAAAAACCAATTAGTTTGTATATCAACTCTCCCGGTGGAAGCGTCACTGCCGGTATGGCTATTTACGATACAGTAAGTTTAAGATACGCTTAGAACGAGGCTATTTACTAAACTCTTATTTTACAGATGCAGGTAAAATTATTAACAGCACAAATGCAAAAATGGGATGCTGACATTTATGTAGTACATTCAATCACCTGTTTCTACATTATGTAATGGGCAAGCATGCTCCATGGGATCTCTTTTACTCACTGCAGGTAATTAATTATATAATTGGGGGGGGGGGGTAGAATTGTAATAAACTGACGGAATAATCATAGGCGAACCAGGTAAAAGATACGCATTACCTAATGCATCAATCATGATCCATCAGCCCTCAGGAGGAGCTGCAGGTCAGGCTTCTGATATTGCTATTCATGCACGTGAAATTCTCCGTGTTAGAGAGCGTTTGAATAAAATCTACCAAAGACATACTGGTATCCGCGAAATTGAAACCATTGGTAAGTCATGTAACAAATGTTATAAATATCATGGTTAGGCGTATTAACATTATTTTAGAAAAAATGGTGGAAAGAGATTATTTTATGACTGCTGAAGAAGCCATGAATTTCGGTTTAATCGATAAAGTCCTTGAGAAACGTGTGGTTGAACCAAGAACCGATGAACCCAAAAAATAAAAAATAAAAAAAAAATTACAAGGATGAAATAAGACCCTTTGTAAATTCGGTAGTACTGTTTTGACCTCCCATATCACGAGTTTTAAATTGACCTCCCTCAATGGTACGGTAAACCGCATTGGAGATACGGTTGGCATGTTTGTTTAGGTTTAGATGTTTCAACATCATGGCGGCGCTGAGAATCATAGCAGTTGGATTGGCTGCGTTAGTTCCTCCAATATCTTCACCTACGTGACGACATCCCTTACAAGACGTATAAGTAAATTATTAATATTGTATAACATCACTACTTACAGGCTCAAATACAGCGTATTCTCTTCCGACACTAGAACCTGCAATAATACCAGGCCCACCCACCAAACCAGCACCAACATTGGAAAGAATATTACCGTAAAGATTAGGCAAAACCAATACATCGAATTGCTGAGGACGAGAAACAAGTTGCATAGAGGCATTATCGACAATCATATCATTCAAAGTGATACCGGACATGGCATATTCCGTTTCGAAAATCTCGCGTACCGTTCGCAAAAATAGACCGTCGCCCAATTTCCTAAATGATACAAGATATTTGAGTATGATTGATATGACTGACATCTTCAGACTTACATGATGTTGGCTTTATGAACACAAGTTACCTTCTTGCGGTTATTTTTCAAAGCAAAATCAAATGCAAATCTAGCAATGCGCTCAGTTTTGTATCTCGTTACCAGTTTAAGAGATTCTACAACACCCGGATAAGAACTATGTTCCAAACCAGAATACTCACCCTCCGTGTTTTCACGGATAATGGCTAGATCGATATCATTGAATCTTCCGTTTACGCCTGCTAAGCTTTTAATCAATGAAGTAGAGGCATAGATATCTAAATCCTATACTCTTCACATGTCAATAACAGTATACATCATGCTAAAACCTTTACGGTCGTACCTTTCTCATGGAAACATTAAAAGAAGCATGACCAAGTCTTGATACAGGAGTAAAAAGAATGCCTTTTAATCCTACTTTATTACGACGAAGGGAAGCCAAAGTTTCCTTCATCAAGTCGTCATTGACAGAGACATGGCCTGACAAGTCAAATTGCTCCCATTCGATGGGTACCTCAGCAGCTTTAAAGACTGCCTTGACTGATTCCGCTAGTTCTTGTCCCACACCATCACCAGGAACCAAGGTTACAGTTTGCGTCTTTATTCATTGTTAGCACATTCACGCGTTTCTTCTTTTATTCACGCACTTACCGAGACAGACGCAAAAGAACGTGTTAAAACCTAAATATAATCCTTGTAAGAGTGGAACACTTATAAAAACGTATTTTCTTTACTTTTTTCACAAGCTTGTTAGGTACAGTGATAATTCGTAACATTTTTTTTTTTTTTTTGGGTTGAGAAAAATAATAAGGGGGAAAAAAAAGATAAATAAACGGTGTCATACATTTCTTATTTTCTCCCTTATTATCGTCCGCATAAACAGTTTCATCGCCCTTTTTTTGTTGTTGTTGTTGTTGTTGTTGCTGTTGTCGTTTATGCGCGGGGATTTAATTACAGGCGTCTTTTTGCCTGGGCGTGTAACAACCGTGCTTGAAAGCGCGATAAATACAGTAATTTAGAATATTCAGCTCAGTGAAGTAATACAAAATAAATTCTATACGTTTTAATTGTTAGATATAGAGAGAATAACAAAAGCATGTACATGCTATATAACAATCATGGTAAGTCTTGTGAACGCAAGTCTGTTTTTAAATACGAAATGACAGGATCTAACTGGATACAACCCAAAAAGAAAAATCCCTTATCTCTTAATGAAAACAGATACATCTTTTAAGCTACTGTTACACCAATCTTGTGCTGCCTGTTAGACACTCTGCCTGCCTGGTCAGTGTGAATTGTGCAAATGGAAGGGTTAACAAAGTTCAACCTTGTGCCTGACTGGTAACAACCAAAATCCAGTCTGTTGCATTTTTTAAAAAAGACATATGCAACTATTTTTTGTTGTTGTTATTTCCCATAGTCATGTTTGGGACAGAACTTATTCAGTTCTAGATCCTATAACAAATATGCTACTCGTAACGTGAGAGCATTTGATGAAATGTCGTTAATGCAATTTTTTTTTTGGGGGCCTCAGCAAAGTTACACAAGAGATCCTCCACATCTGTATTACCCAAATTAGCCGATAATTCACATGTAAAAATAAAAATCTTTGAAATACTGAATCCCAAGCAGAGGAGAGAGAAAAAAAAAAGTGTGAATATTTTTTTTTCTGTTGTTTATTTGTTTTACTAAACAAATACAAAACCTTGTGACAACGGCTGGTTATATTACATGTTATTAAGTAATGATATGTACCTAATAGAGTACAAAAAAAAAAAAAAAAGCTTACATATCACAGGACTTTTTAGCGGTGAAATTATATAAACTCAATTAAGAACAAAAGGGCCAGATTCAATTAAAGAGAGAAACTATGTGTGTGTGCTTTATTATTTTAGCATCCAATAATCTAAGAATAAAAAGATATAAACGATAAATCGTTGATTTTGAGGGGATATACAGAAGTGATTTTTTTTTTTTTTTTTTTTTTTTTTTTTTTATAGGAGTGAGTGTGTTGTAGGCAAATAAAAAAACTTTGTTGTTTAGAATCGTCATATGTCCTCAATAACATTATTACTGTTTGGTATTTAGGGTAGATGTTATTCAAGACACTATAAAAAGTAATATATTTAATATGGATGATGTCTGCTTGCTTTTTTTTTATATGTAGTTTCACTTACTACGGCCACAATCAGGACACCAACTCGTCTCAAAGTATCTTCTATGAACAAGGCAGTAGTTCTTTCCTCGTCCTTGACAAATGTGCTTTACACTGTCTGATATATTCTCCAGTTGCTTAGAAAAGACACTTGATAATGTATTGAATGTCATATTTTTTCTGTGTGAGTCTGTATGTATGTAATGTAAAAGAGGGAAAGAAAAAGAAAAAAAAGAATAATTTTTTTTTTTTGGCCCTAAAATAAATTTTAATAATGCGATGTTCCTATTCCTAACAGTGGCTTATAGAATTGCATGTAAAACCTCGAGCGCAACAGATAAAGAAGCATGTAATATTACACAGAAAAAAAAAAAGTACTTCGATTTTGATCAACATTGTCAGTGCGGCTGTATAAAACCAAGATGGGTACAGTCACGAATAACAACCAATTTTAGCTCCCGCTTACTTTTTTTTTTCTTCCTGCAATTTCGAAACTGAGTCGTTTTGCTCATTAGCGTCTTTGCTGTTATTGACTATATCTGAGGCGAGTTGTGGAAAACCCATTAAACTCCATATTAAACATGCGTGTATTGCCTAGAATGTTTGACGGCTTTTGGAGGCTGATCAAGGTATAGGCAAAAATGTATATATTCAATGATTTATGATTGAATTTTTCCTCCAGTTACTCATCTTTCAAACCATAAGCTCACTTTTATTTTCAACGTCAGAGTATTAACGTTGATGCCACAAAAAGAATTACATTGGGTGTTGTAGATGGCTTTACATTAAAATAAAAGGCCAGCATGTCTCTTTCCATATGTGGATTAAAGTTTTGGTAGCACGAGAATTGATCTATCCCCATCTGGAAAGTTGTATTCATACGATACAATAATGTCACTTTGAAGAAACACATATGCCTGAGATCTATCCTAAAGGAGATCACAAGGTTGATTAAGGAAATAGCACTTCCGGCTAGCGTGTCGACAAGATATTCTGTGAAAGAGCTTCATTCTAAATCGACTGCTTTTTTTTTAGTGAGCTTTAACTCAGTACTGATAAGAGATCATAAATATTAAATGTTCGCTTAAAGCATTCAGTCAAAGACGGTAGTACATACACAAAGACTTCAATTGTTCACTGCATGATATCATCAGGACAGCGTCTGACAAGAACGTGTATACCATCACTATTGGCGTGGGTTCATGTAACCATGATAGATCCCGCTAGATGATGTAGAAGAATATCACAGGACATCATTATGTCACAACTCATGGACGAGTAGATATATTTTAACGAGTCAGAAAGGGAATTTAATCTGTATCCCAAAATCTCGCACAAAGTAAAAAACGTTTTTACTTGATTAAATAAACAAGTAGTCCCAGTTTTTATTTTTGTTATTAAATATAATTTCTCTAATCTTTTCCTCTTCTAGCAATTGCCTTTGCACGATTATCGGCAAAGCAAAACTTGGCGACCTTTTCAATAGTGTAAGCAATACCGAAATCGAGGATCATACAAAGTGTTAACTTGTAGCGGAAGGTTCCAGGGAATCTAACAAGCTTAAGTTGATCGTTGACCTCAGGCCACATCTCAGTAGCACCAGCTAAAGCAATACCACCGACAGACATTAAACCGTAGTATAAGGCCTTGTTATCTTGGATACGCTCACGGAAAGGATAACCTTGATAATTGATGGCAAATGTAGATACTTGCATGGATAATTGGATAAGATAGACGGCACTGTTTAATAAACTAGGTTCGAATTCTCCTTCCAAATCAACCTCCTTTGGTGGTTCCAAGGATTTAGCAAGCGCATTGATATAGACCAAAGAAATGATATGGATAGCAAATTGACCCAAGACAGACAAGATAATATAGGGGTTGAAAATGTTGGGTTGAGGACGTTCCTTGGACAACTTTTGAAGAGGCTTACCGCGAGAGATACAAAGGAAACAAACAGCCATCAACATACCAGAGATGGTGACTTGAAGATCCCCAAATTTAATACCATCAAGATACAAGACAGATAAACTATAAGCGGAAATCAAACAATTCAAAGCTAAAATCTTGTACATTTGGATAGTAGCAACAAGTGTACAACGGCCTTGACGAATAATGTTATTGACTAAAAAAAAAAAAAAAAAAAAAAAACAATGTTAATGCTTTTTTTTTTTTGAATTTTCACACAAATACTTACTAGCAGTGACGTTACGAAGTTTAGAAGTGAAAGGAGCAGCGACAGAAGCATCACCAAACTTGATAGTAGGAGGTTCTTCCATATCCATACCTTCCATCATTTTTTGAGTTGCCTCTTCAATCTTCTTCTTTTGTTCTTGTTGACGAATTTGAGCAGGAGTCAAGTTTTGATTAGCCTGTTGTTGAGCAAGTTGAGCAGCAAATTCAGGGTAAAGATGAGCGATAGCGGGAGGAGGAGGAGGAGGAGGTTGGTTAAAACGAGCAGAGATACTCTTTTGTTGTTCATACATGGCCTTCATACGTTCGATTCTTTGACGCTCAGCAATCTTTTGAAGATCCTCGGGGGTACCATCCAAAAGAGCAACACCAATATGAGCTTGCTTTAAAGCACCCACATCGTTGGTACCGTCACCAGCCATCAAAGTAGTATAACCAAGATCCTTCAAACCTGTTAAAAGGTACTCCTTTTGAGAGGGAGAAACACGAGCATAAACCCAAGTATGTTCAAGAATGACATTCATGTTATCCTTATGAAGCATGAATTGACTCATGGCAGCACCTGTTAAACATAAATCATATTGCTCCAAAAGCTTCTTATCCAAAGGTTCCTCAGGACTGACTTCGACACGGTAGGTTTCATCAATAGAATGGAACACAACCAAATTATCCTTTCTAGTTTCATCTCTATCCACAATCAATACATCACGTTCAACAATAGCCACTTCACGAGCAACGGCGCAGGCAGTCAATGGGTTATCACCGGTGATCATGATACAGCGATGAGAAGATTCGTTCAGTTCCTTTAAAGCCTCAATAGCATCATCCTTGAGAGGACAAGTAAAGACAATGAAGCCAGCAAAAACAAGTTTAGACTCAACAGATTCACGAGAAAGATCGTTGATTTGGTTTTGACTCAAGTTTTGATCCAACATCTTGTAACCGAGAGCTAAAACTCTACTTCCCTTTCTTGTGAAATGTCTGTAGGTATCAACGTAGTTTTCGGGTACATGAGTGTACATATTCTTAAGAGTTTCGGGGGCACCCTTTACAGAAACAAAAGTCTTGGGTCCTTCCATGGAAGGATGAATCAAGGTAGCAACAGAGGATTGACGCTTTAAAGCAGAGGAGAATTGATAACGACGACGGATTTGTAAGTTTTGACCTCTCTTTTCACCCTTGGGGAAAACAAGATCGTTAGGTCCCAAATCCCATTCAAGAGCCTTGAGAGTTTCCTTTTCCATAGGATCACCAACAATACCATCATCCAATTGAACTAAAGCATGAGCACTGGCTAAGACCCACTTGGTAGTATCAGGTACTTCAGTAGCATTGGAAAGTTCGGTAGCGGGCTTACTGGGTTCAGCATAAGCAACACCTTCAAACACAAGATCTTCACCAGTCAAAGTACCGGTCTTATCGAAACAACAGACATCAACTCTACCAGCATAAGGGATACGGAAAGGTTCAGTACAGTAAATAGCATATTTGGAAAGAGCGACCAAACTACTGTTGACAGCCAAACTTAATTCCATGGGGAGCTCAGGGGGAACAACAGAGGTAATAATCAAAATACAATCTAATAAGAGCTTGGACCTCTTACGGTCATTCTCTACGCCCTTTTGCCAGACATAACCAGAGGCGGCAATGGCGAAAATCAACAAGAAAAGAATGAACAACAAGGCTTCAAAATTGTTGGCAGAGACACGTTCAGTAGAGAAAATCATGGTACGTACAAGTTCACCTTGAGATGTACCGAAACCAGTACGAGCTACAACGCAAACACAACCATTATCAGGAGGAGCTTCAACCTTGGGAGAAGTTACCTGAAGGACTTTGGTACCACCATAAAGCACATATAATCTGTCAACGACATTCATATCGAATTCGTCATTGGGGTCTCTGAGTTGAACAGATTCCTAATAAAAGCAGACACTCAATTAATATCCTATTTCCCTCTATCTTATTTTTTTGAAGAATTGATAAATGACTTACCTTGAGTAAAGGAGTGGATTCACCAGAAAGCATAGCTTCGTTGACGATGCAAGAACCATCGGCGATGACCAAATCACAAGGAACACCTTGATCTTCCTTGGTACGAACAATTGAAACAACATCTCCAGGTAAAAGATCGTCACTTTGGATTTGGATCCACTTCTTCTCTCTCTTTACGTAAACGGGATAAGGCTTTTGATTCATACCACGGAATTCACCAATAGTACGAAGACGTTGATAAACAACGGTACATTCAAAGACAACCAACATGAAGAGGGTAAAGAGTGAATAATACCAGTATTCATCCAAACACCAAAGGCCAACACAAAAGATCTGGAAAACAAAGAAAGGTGCAACGGCATGCTCTTTAAAGAGCTCACCAAACGTAGGCAAAGGAATCTCAAATCTAACGAAATAAGGTTAGTTGGAGGGCTTTCACCTTAAAAAAACAGCTAGTCATTACTTGTTCAGACCATAAGAGTGTGTGAGAGATTCGATTTCGGTTTTTGTAGTTAAACCTTTGGTACTTTGGTATGGTTTAACAGTGTGGTTGAGATCAGAAGGATAAAGAAGTTTTTGGAATTGCTTCTTGTCAGTGTTGTAAATGAATTTCTTTTGTTGAAACAAGAACGAAATCTCATCCTCATTGTTGAGACCCTAATGAAAGCTTTAGCAAGATGATGATGATAAGTCTGGCATGTACTTTTCTTACTTTGCTATGTTCCAAAGGTACAAGAGTGCCCTTTCCTTGATAACGGAAAGGCACAATTTTAATAATATTTGCTTTATGAACGTCAGATTCCTATGTACCCCATAAATTAGTTACCCATTTCTTTTCCCTCTCGAATGCTGTTACAACTTACTTTGACACAGGTGAAAAGAGCCTTCATATCAACACTCCACTGGCACACCAAGAAGGTCATTGCGTGCAAGGTAATAATACTACCAAGAGAGACAAAAGTCCATTCTTCAGAGCCAAGATAGGTATCGTAATGATATTTATAGACATAGGTAAATACAGGATATAAAATACTAACAAATGGCCAAATATACAGGTGCCATTTTCTAGGCAACGGCCTCAACAGTGATGCAGAAGCAACCCGTTCAGACTGAACAAGAGTTTGCGTCCTACAGTGCGATTAATTTGGTGTTCTATTTTTTTTCTTTTTTTTTTCTTTTTTTTTTTTGACATGCCTTTCATACTTACATGATTCAGCAATAAACTACAAGAGGATGAAGAAATGCAGAAAAAAAAAAAAGCCCAAGAAAGAATTTAATGGAAGATTGCGCGTAACGAAAAAATAATAGACGAGATTTGTCACACGTGATACTTTTGGATCTGAGGGTGGGTGACACTGTGTTTAACTGGTTCTTCTTTGATTGATGTAACCCCATTGTTTGGAATTTTTTTTTTTTTTTTACGTCTGTATTTTTATCCACCAAAACAGTTGCATGGAATCCTTTTCCTCTCTATTTACATAGTATTGAATTATACTCTAATCAAATATCCAACTGAGAGATAATAAAAAAAGAAAAAAAAATCAAAAGACCACTGGACCGTGCAACCTATCAACTGTGTGTACGTATTTTGTGTCTCAATCGGATTTATATGTATATGTAAAGGGGTAAAAAAAAAAAAAGGTAATAGAGAAAGAAGATTATAATAGTATGCACAAGAAGAATCAATTAATAAGTAGTAAAATTTAAGCAGCCTTCACTTTTTGTTCACGATCGTAAACCCATTGCAGTTCAACCACATCTCTCCATAAGTTTGAATCTCTTCCAAAAGTGGTATCAATTACATCCTTTGCTAATTCAATCCAGGTTCTTGTACCGTTGGCATAGATACGTTCTAACTTTCAATCAACACCAATTAACTCCATCTCTACAAGTGCGTTCCACCCAGATCTTGCAAGGATAAGTGTATGATAGGCTAATTTAGGATGGTAGGGAGGATATATTAAACGATAAACCACAAATAAATACAATGCACATCGCGATGTCTCCACCCAGTTTGCTTCAGAGATCTTTTGCAATAACACGTTTTCAGCAGCACGAATGGCAGACAGAGTAAATGCCGGAACTTGTGGCACATTTAAAACCGCTGTCATGGCCGCTGGAAGTCGCTGTAAAAGTTGAGCTCGGTCTTCTTTCACATACGATTTATACATGCTTGCTGAAGAAGGATGTTTCTTGTCATCAATGGAGGCATAATAGATAGCTGGAGCAGCAATTCGACTTACAAAGTGTGTAAATTGAGGTGGTTCTAGTACTTGGATAGGGGACCAACTATCTTTATCTCTGACCTCTCCATGTCTAATCATTTCTAATACGGACCATGATTCTATTTGTTCAATGACTAATTTTAATCCGTCTGCCGGTGTTAATTGGAGTGATTCACCCTTTTCTAATGCCATATCAACCACAGCAAGATCTCCTTCGCAACGAATACAATGACATTTGTAATCATCACCAAACCTTTTTTTCAATTCTTCCGCACGTTGTCCCTTTGTACTGATCAAGTCTACGTATGCAATAGTAATAGGTTCTCCAGGAAGAATATCCTCTAAAGTGATGATAGCTTGTGTGTCCTGCTTATATAGAACGGCAGCATTGGGTCTACATGAATGACCCACATAGAGAGAAGTAATTGGATAGACACCGACAGCGACCTGATCCAAATTGTGCTCATGATCAAAAATAGGGAAAGAACAGGTCTGAATTCGCTTCCAAAGAATTGACAATTCATCCGAAGATATCTGACAATCAAAGCCTTCCAAGAATTTAGCAACGGCATCGACAGTGGATTGATTATATTCTGAAGTAGATGCAGTCGGGGTGTGTAACGAAAGCGCGTGAATAGCGAATGGCAAGTGAGGCGGAGAATGAGAATGCTGCTTATTCAGACGAGCGTGACTGTGCAGGGTAAGTGCTGTTCTTTCCAATAACCATCGATCTGCGTCAACGTCTTTATAGATATCTGTTTCCTGTGGTTCACATAATACTCGGTGAAAGTGTAACCATGCATTTCGAAAGCATTCGTTACTACAAAAATAGGCAGATCGACAACGGGAACAACATTGAAGCTGAGCTTTACGGAGACAATAATTACATCTTTGATGACGTTTGGCTGGTAAAGGTACAGAAGCTAAAGGGGGTTGAACAAGGATAGTTGAGCCACTCTTGATCGATTCTGACGCTACCAATCGATTCTCTCGAATCATGACTCCCGTATGCTCGTTAATAAAAGAGTCCAACATTCTTTCTTTAATAAAAAAAAAGTTTTTGAATAATAATAATAAAAAAAAAGGAAGAAGAAAGAAAAAAAAAGAGGATTTTAATTTTCAAGGTACGTTTATTTTAAAAAAATTTGACGGCAAAACCAATTTCCCACCTTTTTTCTTGTGCAAAAGAGTTGACTAATTATCAATGTTCATGTTTATTTTCTCACACATTTTTATGCTTGAGCCGAAACAAATAATGGCAATGCGTTTTTTTCTCCCTAAAAGAAAAGTCTGCGTTTCCTTTGTAAAAGGTCATTCCAAATATGTTCCTTTTAATTTGCATTTTTTTTTTCTTTATCTTTATATTATCCGATCAAAAAATGAAAGAGAAATAAGGGTGCATAAAATCAGCAATGACGAGCGAACGTGTGATTACATAAACACAATGTCACTGTGAAACACAACGGTGAAAAAAAACCTAAAACTGCAACCAAAACTCATTACAGTATTAGCATTTTAAATTCAGACAAGGGAAACTTATTTTCAGATAAACCTAAAAATGTTTTCAGATGAACAAAAATATATTTTAGACAGCAGTAAAAAAAAAATTCAGACAGACGTAAATATATATATATATTCAGATAGAATAAGAGAAATATTCAATCGATCTAAATATCTACCTTCGCTATGACAAAATTGAATATGAGAAAATTACTTATAATTATACGTTAACGGGATTTTTCTGTTTATTTTATTTTACGATCATACACGAGTAAGAATCTCGAACCTGAGGGCTGAAAACAAAGATAGTCTGTTTTCTACAAGCTTTAAACATACTGTCACATTATAAATCTTATGAGGCATCAATGTTAGATAATGTTTAAATGCCCAGTCTTTCCAAAAAAACATGTTGCCTACTATTTACAAACACTTTGACCCAATTTTTGGTCAAAACAATTATAATTCTCTTATACAAGTATCTTAGGAAGATATTTATGGAACATATAAATGTTCAATAGGAACATCTCTACTCCTTTCATTACAGTCAACATTATTTGATTGCGTCAATAAAAAAAAATTGCAGGACACAAACAAAGGTGATGTAGGTCAGCATCGCAATTTAAAAATTTTATCAGGTTTAAGCTTTGTGGCACGTTGTTTTGAACTTGATTGAAAAAAAAGTTGTCTTGAACTCATTTTACTTCTTTTTCAATTAACTAATGCCACGTACACCTATTTACCCCGAGGTGGAGAAGTTCATTATCCTCAAGAAACGTGCAAAGCTGGAAAAGGCCAAATCTGATAGTGCGAAGGAAAGCTCAACCACTCAAACCCCCAAGAGAACATGTAAGAGAAAAGAAACATTTTATGCATTTCCAATGTATCACAAGCTAATTTTTGTATATAAAGCTATCAAGAGAAAAGACTCTCCTAATATAATAATTGCAAAAAGGAGTACAAAGATAATTCGCCAAGCTAGCACTTCAGCAGCATCATCCTCCAGTAGTAAATGTAGCTCATGCCAAGAGGAGGGTCACAATTCTGCGCGAAGTCGTCAATGCAAAAACTATAATCTAAATATATCAGAACTTTACAAATCAAACTTGGACCAAACTATCAAAGATATACTCTGTCTGTTCCATTTGATACTTTCTGCAATAATACTCAAAACAAAACCAGCTCATTAAAAAAGATCAAAGACATATCAAGTTTTATCCGTGAAGTCTTATTCAAAGCCCAACTATTTGTTAACTTTTTTATTCTGCAACACCCAACCAAGTTGACAAATGACTTCTTTGAACAAAATTTTTGGTATACTATTACAAGGGTCATTAGGGGTAGCTCAAATGAAGTAAGGCCAATTCTACAGGCGTACAAAGACAAGAAAAAGGAACGACCTGCAGGTCAGAATTTAGATGTGTCTCAACTTACAAGCTCTTTCGCTGAACTATCCGCCACTATGAATATCCGCCACTATGAATTGTAACTTGTTCGTTCCGGAAAATGGATTAAAAAATTATGGACAATCTCTATCAACTGCATGCGAGACTGTCGCAACAACGTACAATAATTATAATATTGAAAACTTTGAAAATATCATATGTAACTACTTTATCTATGCATTAAAGACAAAATATGCGGTAAGTACGATATATATAAAAAAAAAAACGCCTCAATATATATGCAGTTTCTCAATTTATTTTACTAAATTTAAATAAACTAGAATGAGAAAGTCGGCTGTATCAAGAAATTAGTGTATAATCATGTATATGATCAAGTATTTACACATCCCCAGCTATCTTCTATACCTGCTGATATTCTCGCCTTTTTTGATCCGGATGTGGGTAACAATCTCACAAGTTTTCTAAATCCTTTGATTTTAGAGGTGAAGAATCGCATTTCTACGCTTCCGCTATCTAAAGAAAGCTTGAACAATGAACCCTTCAAGATTTTACCGGCTTTACGGTATATCCTTGAAAAATACGATGGTATATACAACGCCCAAGCTACTCAAAATGACAAAATTGATTCGATGAAGTCTCCACTCCCAAGACGTTTTAGTCTATTTCCAAATCCTTCATTACACTCGCGGTTCATAAAGATTGATTCCCAGAACCTAAGTGGAATTTTTCCAGATGCTAAGCAGAATAAGCAACCTAATGAATCCTCTTTCGATCATCAACAAAGATGCTTCTATCAAATGTTTGACTTTAAGAGGCTGGGTATTTAGAAGTATGCCCTACTATTACATATATCTATGAATCGAACTAGCAACTAATATATAAATATAGCTATGAAAATCTTCAAGCATTGCCTGAGCAAAAAGAAAAAATGTTTCTCAACGGATTATATACTTATGGCTACACTTGCAGAGTTCTTTTTGCTAGAAAAGTTCTTCCATCCTCACCAGAAGAGAACATCCGTCTAGAGTTAGATGATCTTTCAAGCGAAGAGGTCAACAAGCACTTTCGTCCGTGTACTGGAGATCCAGGAAGACGGGACCCGTTTGTCTCTTATCACGGTGGTAGTGACATACGCCGATTGTCCTCATCTGAGTATTACAATATGGGTGGAAATGTAACACGAATGAAAGAGCAACATGTAAGAGGTAGCGGAATAAGATAGGTTATAAACTGAGTTTTATTATTATGTGCTTGGTCTAGGTATAAGTACCTAGTACCTAGTTACACAACTCTTACATTGTCCCCCTTATAAAAGGACTTTCTAAACTATACTAATAAACGCTCTATATAATATCTAATTCAAACTTTATAGATGTCTTTAATGTTTGCAGTTGTTGTCTTGATAATTCTTCTTTTGGCTTTTGAGTTATCAATCAGTTCTAATAAAAAGGCATCACCATTTTTGTTGGTTTCCTTTACTATCCTCCACGGGCCGGAAAATTTAGGTTCACTAAATTTCCAATTATCTTTCATCTTGATTTTGATAACTTCGTCCCCAACAACAAATTTCCCTTTTTCTTTTCTGTTTCGGTTGTAATATTTCTGCTGATTTTCTTGGCTTTTTTGAATATTAATTTTGATATCCTCATGAATGATAGGAATATAGTGATTTAAGTATGCGATCCATTCTTCAGCCTGATAACCCTTTGATGATAATCTTGGAAAATCTTCTAATGCTGGCAGTACCGCTTGACGACCAAACATAGCTTGAAAAGGAGTATATCCGGTTGATTTCTGTACTGAAGTATTAATACTAAACGTGACAAAAGGTAAATATAAATCCCATGCTTGTGGATTTGCTTCGCAATATAGTGATAGAGATGCTTTGATGGTACGATTCATTCTTTCAATTAATCCATCGGATTGCGGATGTTCTACACTTGTATCGACCTTCTTGATACCCATACGCTGACACACTGTTTTCATAGCTTCAGATATAAAGTTTTTACCATTATCTGTTATCCATTGGCCAGGTTTTCCAAATACAAGGATGACCGAGAAAATTAAGACATCGGCGACCGATTTGGTATCAAACGATTCCAATGCTGCAGTTACTGTCCATTTTGTAAAATAGTCCATGAGTACTAACAGGTATCTCTTTCCTGATGTTGATTCTGGCAGAATCGCAATATCTGCAGCCCATTTCTCCATAGGGTAACCTACTTCAATGCTCGTCATCTTCTTGTACTTGTGTGTGGGTGTTTTGAACATCTTGCACTTCTGACAATTCTTAATAAACTCCAAAACATCGCTTCGCATGTTCCACCACCAACCATTAGCTTGAGCTTTGGCAAGCGTCTTGTCCCTACCCATATGTCCACTTGAGGGGTTACAATGTATTGCCTCTAGGAATTTTGGGACCATTGTTCTAGGGATGACCAGCACTTTCGGCTTGTTCTTCTTGGCGTGGCATAACACTCCACCGTTGATTACAAATGGTAATTCAATAGGTGTATCTTGATCCAATATTGCCTTAATTTTTGGGTCTTCGTGTTGTTGTGCTTGAAGTTGATCGGCCGGAGATTCGTTTTGTTGATTTACCGATCCCACATATCCGCCTTCCTCATTCGTCACCCGGATTCGGGATAATGCGTCGGCATCGAGATGTTCACTACCTTTTCTATGAAACAGGTTGAATTCATAACACCAAATGTCAACAATCCAACGAGCGATACGACCTTTAGGATCTTTGGTGGCTAGAATCGACTTCAGTGCAGCATGATCAGTGTAAATGTTCAGCGTGGCTCCATGGACATAACAATGAAAATATTTCAAAGACCAGACAACAGCATAGCATTCCTTTTCCGTTGTGGTGTAGTTTTGCTGAGCAGCATTCAAAGTGGAACTTGCAAAAGCAATCGGACGACCTTGTTGGACTAAGCACGCCCCCACAGCAAAATTACTCCCATCGCAATGCAAATCGTACGGCAAGTTGACTTGTGGATAAGCTAACTCCGGTAGTTTGATCAGTCGATCTTTCAGCTGTTGAAATACTTTATTACGCTTGTCAGTAAAATCCCACGGAACATTTTTCTTCAATAGTTGGTATAGTGGGGCGGCCATTTCTGCCAAATTGTCAATGAATTTGTGGTAAAAGGTACAAATACCTAAAAACTGCTGTAATTCCTTTACATTGGATGGTTGAGGCCAATTCTGTATGGGTAGTGTTTTGACAGGATTACTTCGAACACCAGTTGCAGATACTATGAATCCAAGGAATTTCAGTTCTGGCACCAAAAATTGACATTTCTTGAGGTTTATCTTCAAGTTCCAGTGAGCTAAAATTCTTAAAACTTCTTGAACTTGACGGATGTTTTCTTCTCGTGAGGTCGAAAAGATTAAAATATCATCTAGATAAATAATAGTGAATTCTGTTACGCTTTGTAATAATGTATTCAAAAAGCGAGCAAACGTAGCAGGACTATTTGTCAAACCAAACGCCAAACAGTTATACTCGTATAGTCCACTGCTTGTTCGAAACGCTGTCTTGCATTTATCCTTTTCAGCAATCGATAGTTGCCAATAAGCCGATTTAAGGTCGATACTAGTAAAACACGTAGCCCCTCCTAACCGGTCCAGAAGCTCTTCCATTCGTGGTAACGGGTACTTATCCTTCTTGGTAATAGCATTCAACGGTCTGAAATTCGTACAAAAACGAGTACTTCCATCAGGTTTTGGCACTACTACCGGGTTGGAACTCCATGGTGAGTTACTTTTTCTAATAACGTTCATCTCTAGCATCTTCTTGACATCTGCTTCAATTGCTTCGTTTTCTTTTGGCGAATAACGTCTACTTCGAGATACAATTGGGTTACTATCGCCTGTGTCAATGTGATGAACAATTGGTGCATTCGTGATACTTTGGATATTGGTTTCATTGTAAAGGTCAGGATATAGAAGTAAAATGTTCGTAATTTCACCTGGTATTCCCTCAAATTCGTTACCAGTAGTTTGTGTGTTGACCGATACACTTGATCGTGGGATTAGTTGTTTATACAGCGGGTCCAAAAGTAATCCCATCTGTAATAACCAGTCCATACCCAAGATAGTTGTCAAGTTCTGCGTATTTACAACACGTAAAAAGAATCCACCTAAGTCCATACCTTGAATTGAACATGGCATCCACACGGCTTGTTTCGATAATCCACTTGATCCATTACCGTAAATAATTCTCAAGGGTGCTGCTTCACTGAACTGCAATGATAGTCGTTCGGCTTCTTTTTGCGTGATAGTACTGATATTAGCACCTGTATCAATCAGAACATTTGTTTTCATTTTATCACCAGATGGACTTGTTGATGTTGTGGCTTCCAAAACAAAATTGGTTACATCGGACATACCTCCTGCGATATTTGGGATGAGGTTGTCATTTCGAAGTGGGTCCAAACTTTCTTGATTATTTTGATGTAAAAAATAAAAATAATTATCAGTAATATCTATGTCTAGTTCATCACTCTCATCCGTAATTGGACTACACAGTGTTAAAAACGCAAATTCGTGATATAACCAATATGCCGGAATAGCATCGTTTTTGTTTAAAAAGAACAATACCGACAAGTTTATTTGACTCACCGTCCAAAGCCAATTATATCAGCTCCTGAAAAACAAATGGTGGGTTTATGTTGCTTGAGTACGTAATTAATGCAGCAATGTATGTCATGTGTTTCCCAAAAGATGCGACATTGTTGAATATTTATGAAATGTTCCAAAGATTTTTGATATCAGTTATCATTAAAGATAAAATCTGAACATTGCTCAATTCATCAGAGCTTGATATACTCACAGAACAATAAGTAGAACGTGCAATAATAAAAAAAAACCAAGATAAAGTTTCTCACAAAAAATACAAACAAAAAAACTTTGGTTGAATTATTTTATACCTGATGGATATTGTGTATTTTATAGAGCATACATTTACACTCCATTTTTTTATCTGTAAAAGTAGTTTTTATTGCTTCAAGATTAGCATTAAAGCATAAAAAGAATATGTTATATGTAATAGTATCCTATGATTATTTTTCAGGTTGCACAATAAAGCATATCTGCTTGAGCTAAATAAAATGTACAAATAATGCCTAATACGATTGGACATAGAAAGTAATTTTTAAAGCGAAAACGTCGTTATGATGCATCAAAAATGTCGTGTGACATTATTTCTTCTGTCGTTTCATCATACATGAAAAAAAAAGAGGTGCGATGGGAGTTGTGTACCACTCTCAGCCTTTCAAACAGTTGCATTGACAACTAATCCGACTTAGTGTGACCATGTGTCAGTAAATTTTCTATTGGTATATTGGGCACGTCTTTGTTGCCCTGTATATAAAGTAAAAAAACCGGGTACAAATTCCATCATCTATCATAATGTCTTCTACAAAAAAAAGGACCAAGATTTGCCATTGCAACAAGTGTGGCGGTTGCTCAGTTCCAATCAATACTGCTACACGACATGCCGAAAAAAAAATGTACGAGGAGTCATGCCAAAAGGCAGCAGCTTCCAAAAGAAGTTTGGATGAACTAGAAGAAAGTGTGTAACCCTCATCAGATATTTACCTACAACAAACTGTAATCTATACTAACAGAAATTTTAATAGATGACGCCGTAGTAGACACCAGCTTAGAATTTTCACGTTTGAACGTATCTGTTATTGAAGCAGAGTTTGCACATGTTAATATCAGTTCGACTCAAGTTGATAACCATTTTCAGGATGAATGCTCTTCAGGTATGCATACAAAAAAATGATTTATAACATGATGCTGAGTAATGTTTCAAGATGATGAGCGCGATTATGAAGAAGGCTTTATCTTTGATCAATCCTATAGCATTGATGCAAATGATGATAATGAAAATCAGGTTATTGTCGAAAGCAGCAGTGAGATATATTGGACCGATGAAGTTCTCAAAATGCTAGATGATTTGGATGATCAAGGTGAAAAATTTATCATAAAAAAAGGTAGGCTTGAATTTCGGAATAAATATTTGCAACTTTATTGAAACAATCGTAGTCCAACAAAATAATCATCCCAGAATACCACAAGATCCCACTTACTTGTTTATTTGTTGTTTTGTACTTATATTCCAAATGGACTTCTTGACTATCATCGCTACACACAAATTACTTGATCTGTTCCGTATGCTATTCAGCAATTTTGAGTTTCCAAAAT